AGCCTTCCCCCGCCCTTCTTCTGACAAAGGAGCTACAAAGCTCATGTGAAAAGGATAAGTACATCTGCTTTGTGAAGGGGTCCGCTGCTTTGTGAAGGGGTCCTCCAAATCAGCTGTTCAAGATGACTACTCTTCAACAATAAAAGCCGCCAGCCGATGCCACACGATCAACCGTTTCCCCCTAGTTTGGACGTGTAGCTTCCCATTAAGTTCCAAGATCCAGGACTGTAACTTAACCAGTTTTTCAGCCGTGTTAGATGGGCCTTTTTCAATCCATGGCCCATCCATGCCCTTTGTCTTTGAAAGGCGTCCGCATTTTGACGCCCGCAAACCTATGCCATGCGCCTCCGGTAACTCCCCAACCTGCCCAGTTTGAGGAGCACCGCAGCGCTGAGCCCGGGCTTGGCGCGGGCGGCCGCGCGCAAGTCCTACCCATGTGCCGTTTTTGGAGAACCGCCCGGGGAAAACCGAAAAACGCCGAGGGGGGGGGGGGGGGGGATGGGGGGGGCAAATGGCGTGTTTGGGCGAAGTGGAGTTGCTTAGCAAGCGTTGGTATGGTAGCAAAGGACTTTGTTTTCGGTCTTGCTTCTTTTTTTTTGCACCCCCCCACCTAGCAATGAACGGGGGGCAAACAACTGAAAGCTTGGGCGGTGTGCCGTAAAGTGTCCCTTTAAAACCCTGAAAAACATGGCCAGCCTCAACTCGGCAAAAGACACAGCTATTTGTTTGGTTCTGGGGAGAAGCCAGCCCAAAGCGGGTGCGCGGATTTAACAAGAAGCCGGCACATTGCAAGTTTCCCTGCCGAGAAGCAGGGACTTTCGCATGTGTCTTAAAACAACTCAAGCGTTCGTGGGTGGGTGGAGGGGGAGGGACCAGGCCCCATGGAGTGCAAATGCGCATCCTGAACCCGCTTCGGTGATAATTGCAAACAGAAAAAGCCCAAAACACCGCCACCACTAAACCGACCAAAAACATCTGAAAGTCTAAGGAACCGCATCTTAGATGCCCAGTGGTGTTGGTTGAGTTTAAAGGGGAACCCTTCCCCCAAAGGAAAGAAGAGGCAGAATCCTGGGCAACTGGGGCACAGCTGGGCGCCACCCAGTGGCTGAGACAACCCCTCCACTCCCCCCGCCCGACGTTCCGGCCTGGAGAAAGGATTTGAAGCCGAACCGCTGCCTCGATCCCGATCACGACGAAATGAATCGATGCAGGGCTGAATCGACGCTCATTTCGAGCAAGTAAACCAGGCACACAGACAAACACCAGCCAACCCTCCGTGACCATGTTTCTTTGCAGGGTTGCCTGTTCCCTTGAAGGTAACTTGCAAATATGGCAGGGCCATCCTCAGCGAAGGGATGCGCACTCTGACCGAACCAAGCCCCCATCCACAGCAAAACAATGAAACCTGGTTGCTAGCCAATGATTCAAGTTTCGTTCCCCTGTCATGGCGCACATGCCACGAACATGCCACTGCATTGGCAAAATCCCGAAAGGAAGATGTTGGAACATGTTGCACAGGTCTGCCAACAAATTGGCCCCTGCTTTGTGGTTTCCATCTCTGGAAAAAGGGAAACTCACTCAACGGTGCCGACCAAACGATTCCGCGTCAACTCCAAACATGGCATGAGGAGCCCAGTCCTTTGTCAATGCCTCATGCTCAAAGGAAAATCGAAAGACAAATTCTTTTGTAGGGTATGAAGCATGTGTTTTAGAGCTTCCGCTTTTGGCCGGTGTAAACAGGAATTCGCATGAGCCATGGTCAAAAGTCCTTATATGGCCTGTGGCCATAACTACGCTAAACGAAACCATTACGATGATTGTGAAGGTTCCTTACCACCAGGTGGATGACCATCCCTGCTAACCCCAAGCAAAGGGGGCTTTTGACCATGACACACATGAAGCCCACCAGTCAATCGAATCCGATCGAGTGGATTGGCCACAAGACAGTTCAGCAGCTTTCTATTCACTGCTAAAAATGTCTTGCCGAAAAGCATAAAGTTTAAAAGTCGTGAGAAAGAGACAAGGGCAAAGTGGCAAGGCAAATAAAATCAAGTTAAACCTAAACCCCTGGGCTTAACTTCACCTTGGGCTAGTCAAACAATGAGAAACCCTGCACCCAACTTGGATACTGTAGATGGTTGCAAGATCCTCTTAGGCACCACCATTCAGAAACCTCGGTTTCTGATTCGATTCCCCTACAAATACCAACACTGGCTTCAACCATGGCTTCCAAGTGAGTCACAATCAAAACCCGATATAATCATTCGACCCAGAACCATGTAAAAAACTAAGAAGGCGGCCGCTGCTATTTACGGCTGGGATCGTCCCTAACCTTCACTTACGCCAGTTTTGATCGTGGCTCAAGAAGTGCGAAATGGACTTCGCAACCATCCTACCCTGGTTTCTGATTTGATCCCCTTATACCAACCAACCATGGCTTCAAGCATGATTGCCAAGTGGTGCGACATGGACTTCGCAACCATCCGCAGGAGTCCGCTCCGGCCCCGGCTCTAGGAACTCCGGGAGCGACTTGGTGGACTCCAACTGGCCAGCGGCGTATTGTTTTGTAAGCCACGGGTGAGTTCATCGCAGGCCTGGCGTTTCTGCGCCCGGTTCTTATCCTTGGGTCGTTCCGAGTTCCTAGCCAGGTTAGTAAGTGGTTAGTAAAGGTCAAAGACACAAACTTACAACCAGGCTCATTGAATTTGGGGGACCTGCAAGTGGGATTTAACATGAATTAACCCAAGTTCCTTGAAACTCGGACGTACCTGCAGACAAAACCACATCCTAAGTGGATTGGTCAAAGTCTAAATGCTTGTTTGGCACGAAAGCGACCTTCACTTGCCCAAAGAGCGCAGAAATACAAGGTTACACTCGTGAACTTGCAAATATGGACCAAATCAGGTCAGCCAAAAGGTGAACATGTCGGTTGTTTTTGTTCTGTATTTCTTTATTTCTTTCTTTCTTTCTTTCCTTCCTTCTTTCTTTATTCCTTCCTTCCTGCCTTTCTTCCTGCCTTCCTTCGCCTTCCTTTCTCTTTATCTATTTGTTTTTGTCGTTCCTTCTTGCTTGTGTGCACGTGTGTGCACGTGTGCGCACGTGTGTGCACGTGTGTGCACGTGTGTGCACGTGTGTGTTGTGTGTCTGTGTGTGTGTGTGTGTGCACTAGGGGCTTCCTTCTCTTCATTGCCCAGCTGTTCGGAAGGCAAAAGGCGTGCCATGTTGCTTGAGAACCCAACCCGCCAAAAAGGGTTCAAACAGAGTGCCACTGAGGGTTTGCCAGAGCCCCATTTTGCTGCCTGAACATCGGCTACATGTAGAGATGCATTGAAACAGCTTGCAAAGGTGGTTGTAATTAGGCCAAAGTCTGTCTCCGTTCAGGAACCCTGGTTGACCATTAAAAAGGACAAAGAAATGGTCTCCATTGAGCAACTCTGTTTTCCAAAAAATGGACCATGTCATCCAACTGCCAACTGCCAACTACGGCGGCTTACGCGCTCGAGCGCTTCTTTCTCCGCTCGCTCAGGTCTAAAAGGCCCCGAGCACCAAGCGTTTGAATCGGACGCGGCGGAGGTGGCAGTGAAAGCACCGTCCAGCCAGAAGACAAAGGCTGAAGGAAGAGGACCACTCTCCAACTCTACAGCTTTCCTCGGTTGCGAAATCTGCTCCCCTGCTAAAAGTGACTAACTTTTAGTGGTTTGGTGGAAAACCCATTAGTTGGCAAAAAGTTAAAGTCCTAACAGCCAAGCAAAATGTACCAAAGTTTCTTCCACTTGGTGGGTCCATACCACCAGCCTTTGACAAAAGAAGCCAGGCACCAGCCTACTTCTGCCCCGCAGCGTTCATCCGAAGTGTCCTGCTTGGGATAGTTGCCTTCATTGCTTAGCTCAAAAGCCCGGGCCGTGGGTCGGAACTCTGAGTTCTCAAAAGCAGTTCTTGGCGGGCGAGACCCCTCTTCCAAAAGTGAGTTTAACTTTGTGTGGGCCCAATTTGGAAAATCCGAGCTGTTTCAACCAAACAGTGAAAGGCTCTCAAGATCCGTTACCAGGCAAATCCACACCACTGATTAGATGGAGGCTGATGCTTCGTACCGGTCCCAGATGCCAAAAGTGGAAAGATATGCTACCAAATCGCCATGCGGAATTGGTAAGTCCGCAAAGGCCAGCAGCTGAAATTTAAAGACAACTGGCTGTGGGTCAAAAGAAGGGTAACCAGTAGCCCAAAATGGCTTACCCTGGCAAATGGCTCAAAATTAAACAGGAGGGGCAAACCGCAGGTGTTGGTCCATGTTTCGACTTACCAGGGCTCCATTTTGGAATTCCGTTTTTGAATTCGCCACAGCCAAATGGCAACATGGACTAAAACCTGCGGTCCATATCCTGGTGGCTTACTTTTGACTCACACCCAACTGAATCTTAGGTATGCCAGTTTCCAGGGGCCAGACAGATCTATTCCCGCATTCGTCATCCCAGCCAAAGGAATTCAACTTAGACCCAAATATGTTGTTTACAAAGGACAAAATGATAAGACACCACAAAGAAAAACGTGTTTACAAAAATGTTGTTTACAAAAAGTCAACTTAGGAACACCGCAAAGAAAAATGATAGGAAACCCTGGCCCAAAGACTCTTTTCCATCCACTCTAGGTATGAACCCCGCGCGGCCGTTTGCCGCCTGCGCGGCCTTTTGCATACCGGGCACCGCCGTACAGCAGGCACCGTGGAACATCCAGTGGATTACCTCTGGGTGGGCCTGTTCTTGCCAAGGGGCTTGCAGCTTCCAACCAAGCCCCTTCCCAGGCCCAGACAAGACATGTGCTCGTGAACCGTACAACTCCGTACAACCTAAGAGCAATTCCCAATAGCAATTCCCCATCCCTCTCTTTGCGGGCCAAGAAACAACTCACTTCCTGAGCGGGCTGGCCGAAAAAGTCTGCACCATTTTTCTTTACCACTAAAATGGTCCAAACCATCAAATGACTGAAGTCTCCGAACCGGAACTCTCTGAGGTGAACCAAATCATGTCTTGGGGATGGTCCCCTGATGTCCCCTGGCTATCTTTTCCCCCAACCGGCTGGGGGGACCGGGGGGGGTAGCTGATTCGCTGTATCCGGCTGGGCGAAGGTCCGTTTCGACTCACTTTGGCAGCACGTGGCTGCGACCCATGCAGAAGCCGTCCCCGAAGATGACCTGTGCAGAGAAACCGCCAGGACCTCATACTTTGCGCTAGTAAACCAGGCACTCTCAACCGCCAAAGTTGCCCAAAAGGTAGGGAACTATAGTTAGACTACTTTTTCAGGTGGCAGGGGAATATCGCAGCATCCCTCCAGGTTTCGTCAGTGGCTGTTCCTTGTTTGTGAATCCACAGTGGCACTACTATCACTGCCCGAGTTCCTGTTTTGGGAAGACCATCCTATTGAGCAGAACTTCAGACAGGCGGGCAATCCTCTCAGGAAGCGAGACAAGGAAGCGAGACGGGGTGTCTAGTTTGGCTGGTTCCCTCAAAGTTTCTCCGATGATAAGCTTCCGCAAATTCGTCAGACATGGATTTCTTTGTTCGGAGAAATGCACGGTTGACATTCGAACAGCAAATCCAACAGTGCCCCTCGCATGCCCTTGCATTGGCGGGTATTTGGCTTAAAATGTCCGCTAGTAGCAATTCCTGTCGCCGGCTATTGAAGTTTGGACACCCCAATCAGAATTTGAGACGCCCCCATCTTCCAAGGTCCGTAGGTGTCCTTGCAGTTGCACAAGCCAGTAATATGGTCCTGGCTCACCCACTACGATATAGGTCCACCCGATGCAGTACCTGTACCTATACTCTGCGGGGCGGGGGGTATAGCTGGGACCTGCACCTATACCTATACTGGGGTGGTTTAGGTTCTCTCTGGGTACCATGTGCGCACGACACCTAGGAAAGTTGATAACTCGGTTCAAAGTGCAGGGTGTGATTGCCAATACTTTGGCTATCCCTCTTGGCCAAAATTCTACAAAGCTGGGGTCCCTCCAAGCCGTCCTGTTCAAAAAGTCCAATCTTCTGACATTTGCTGAAGCCCCCGGGCAAAAAATAAACATGGTTTCCAGTAGTGCTAGATTCCCTTTCAAACAACCAACAAGGGAAAATAACAAAAACAACAAATCTTAAGCAAATGGAAGTCTGTCAGAGGTTTTCTTGGAAAGACCAATCTGTCTCCAAGAAGTCCGTGTTCAGCTGTTCCCTCGTTGGTTGGATTGCGTGGTTTGGAAGTCAAGAGGTTGGTGTGGCGTCTTGGGCAATCCAAACCACTTGAGGGGAACCGGACTTCTGCTCGCTTCCGCTCCTTCGTGGATTGGCCAAAGAAAGTCGTGGATTTGTTCTATTCCCACTAAACTGGAAAAATCCTTTGATTCTTTGATTCTGGATTTGATTCTTTGATTCTGATAGTCTTTGATCTTGATTCTAAACATGTCTTTCCAAACAAGTGTTAAGTCCATGAACTCGGGGAGTGCGTTTGGAGCTTTCGGACCGCGTCGTTCCGGCCGAGAACATGAAAAATATCATGAGAACCCGAAGGCTTCGGAAGGGGGACTCTTAGGCAGGGACACCAAGAGATGAGCAGACAAACCCCACCCCTTCAACTTGGTTGTTGTTGGGAAACATTTGACATTTTTGCTTATTGTGGTTTAGTGGGAAAAGCCCACTTATCTGCTTGAATTTATATTTTTTGCTCCCCTTCCAACGTCAACCAAGTCAAGCGCATTTTCACAGAGAAGGGTTTTGGTATGGAAGTTATATAGCACATACCTGAGGGGCAAAGGGGCATACACAGCTTTACAAGCTTACATAGTTGGTATATAGGCATCCATGCCTCCAAAGCCCATACCTCAAAATGTTCCCTGCAAGATTTGACTCTCCAGAGGCTCTCATGACTAGGGGTGTGAAGTAGTCTGTCCTTCGGACTTTCGAGCGCAGTTGCGAACGCACCAAACACCTCGGAAGACCCCTGTATCCAACTGGGATTGGATACTTGCTCTCTAGACTCCTGTGGACAGGGTGTCTGACAAGAAGCCCATGAACATTGCCCTTCGGACGGATACTCAAATCTATCGCTGTCGCCAGCACCCTTTCCAACCTGGTGTGAATGGTTTCCAAGAAACCGCCTCAGCATTGTTAGGGCCCTACCTTGACACATGGGGATGCCACCCACTGCGGAAGCTGGGCTGTCCCCAGATCCCCTAGAGGTTTACCTTGCAGTGGGTTAAGTGCACACCCCCAGGAATTCAGAAGCCTCAACTGCAGTCAGTGGGGAACCCTTTGGGAGCAAAATACTTTAACAGTGCTATAACACTCCAATAGCAGTGCTATAGCGTGTCTCAAGGGGTCGGGGGGTAAAGGGGGGGGGTTCTGCTTTCTTAGGGGCATACACAGCAAAAACAAGCTTTTACATAGTTGGTATATAGGAATCCATACCTCCAAAACCCATACCTCAATCCTTGACTCAGCCCTGCAAGACTCCCGAGTTGCTTCTGCGTGACAAAAATCAAAACAAGGACCCCTGCGCCCCAACCATCAGAGCGCTTCAGAGCAACTTTTAGTGGTTTGATACGGAAAACCCATCAGATGGATCAACAGTTGTTCAGTCCTAACATCCCTTGGCAAGATGCAACAAAGGGGGGTAGGAGGGGGGGGCGGGTTCTGCTTAAAGGCAACCCTAAAACCCCCCCAAGCCTTTCAAACCGGATGGCCAACCGCCAAACATGCAAAGAGCCAAGGCGCAAGACCTCCTTGTGAGTACATGGCCTTCGAGCATGCGAGCAAATCGGAAGAGGTGGAAACCATATCGTTGGTTGGTATTTACGTCGGGGAAACGTTCGAATCATTCCAGGGTTTCCTAGGTGGTGTGAAATGGAGTTCGTCCAAAGTATGGCTGTTGGGGGGCACTTAGGATTCTCTCTAAATGACGTCTAGTGGGAACCCCAAAATGGCATTCCCTTTTGGTTACTGCACATAACAACCCAAGAGGAGCAAACTCACAAAGCTGACACGCCCGCTGAGGGCGCCCTTTTGCGGGAAATGTGCGGCGAGCGTCTTGAGAGACAGCAGCGCTTCCGGACAGGCTCCGTTTAGTATTGGCCTTTGTCTTCCCTGGAAGCCAGCCATGTTTAGGCCTAGCTATCTCGAGCAATGCGATTGCATCCTGCAATCTGCTTTGGAGACTGGCAATCTGACACAAACTTCCCAGAACTGACTTTCCTAGTAGCCCCCCCATCCACCCACCACTCCATCCACATCCATCCACCCATCCATCAGTTGCTTTGCTGAAAAACAAAGGTACGTGACCTGCAGAAGCTCTGTGGTTCCAGGGCAATTCCTGAAACTTCGCAGGCCTGCCAAGCGAAGGATGTTTCCTACAAACAGAACTCCCCGGATGCCCTTCCAAACTGGTCATAGCTTGGATTTAGTCTAACACACTCATTCACCTTGCTTTTGCTATTCGCAAAAGCTTTTGCGAGCCTATACTTCCATGAGCATTGCACGCACAAATTCTGAGCTTAACAAGATGTGTGCTACATCTACTTGGTCAATTTTCAACCCTAAACACAGGATTCGCATAATTATTGTGTTTGTCCAGGCCTTCCCCCCAAAAAAAAGAAAGCAACAAAGCAAGAATCGAAATGCCCACCACTGCACGCCTTCGGCATTCGAAGGACTAAAAAGGAACTGCCGACCACTGGGGGCTTGCGGACATTCGGCCAGGAAAAAAATCGCGAGTCAAATGTGCGTTCCCATAGCCCCTGAAAGTGAATGCAAGCGTACATTCTTCTAACCCAACTCACCTGGTCAGGCACTTCAAGACTTCCGCAAAGCAGGTATTCTTCCCCGAACGGAGTTGCAATGCAAAACCAAAGGGCGCTTCTCCTTTTTTGAGGCCCCAGTGGAAGTGCGCTTTGATTCTTTATGAAGCGACCTCGAAAAATCCCAGCTCAAAGGCTGCCAATGAGAAGGCACACGCCCGCGGGCAGAAGCATGGGCCCAACTGCCGCCAAAGAGCCCAGTACGCTCGGCACAAGTGCATCACGCAGGGCAGATAGGTGCAAAACCCGTAGAAGTCCTTCGGGTCGCAAAGCATGGGCGTGCTTTGATTGAATTTTGACGCTGGCCCGTGTTTTCAGGTTGGGTTTCTAGGGGAAAAGGAGAACTCCCATTCTTTTGGATGGGGGGGGGGAGGCGCTTCTTTTTTGACAGCCCCGGACCAAAAACCACCAGGCTCGCGCCGCCGAGGTGAAGCTTGATTGAGCCTTTCGGCGAGTCTATTTCAGTAGGGGAACCCTCCCGCAAAAAAGAACCGGTAAAAGGGCACCTAGCTGGGGGACCTGGAAATGAGATGCCCGAAGAGGCAAGAGCCAAATCTCCAATCGCAGAAGTCACCTTTGCCGGGCTGTCGGAACAATCAAGCGCTTGACAGCTATCCTGTACTTTCTGTTTGGGGTTCTGCCAGCTCCATGTTGGCTTGCGGGATTGCAAAGCTGGCAATGACCAAAGTCCATGATGCTTCAATCCTGAGCGACAGGTGTGGCTAGATCTCTCAAACAGCGGAACAAAACACCAAACTTGGCCATTTCCGCGGAAAGACCCGCCGAAGCTTGTCCAACATATAAAAATGGCGGCTCTCTAATCAGCTCGGAAAATAGTGTCCTTGCCAGCAATCTCTGTAGAAGCTTAAATTCTGGCCTACCAGGTCCTTACAGAGCTCCGATCGGTAGGTCTGAAAGGCTCCCTCTTGAAAGGCAACTTTGGATACCCCTAGCTCCCTTCGCCGGCTCCCTTCCAACCACTCGCCAGCAAAGGCGTCCTTTTGGGGGAAAAATAGATGGCCCTGGTAGGATGAAGCCACCAGGTAAAACAGGAATCGCCATCCATTTTGTCCCTACCAAAACCAAAAAGGACACCTACGGTTCTTCAATGTTTGGACAACGCAACCTCCCCAAATCCTAATGTAGACCCGAAGTCTTTGGTTCCCTGTGAGATGTTTTGATGTTTTGCAGATGGGTTACGCCTCGGAGTTTATGGCTTGGTGTTTCCCTATCCCCGGGCATTCACATGTTTTTCCAGCACCAAGTTGAATACCATGGGAAACAATTTGTTGTTGGCAATTTGAAGGGGAATCAAATCATTCCAACTCTTCGCTCTCCAGCTCAAAAAGAAACCAGCATGCGCTGATTTACCGATTCAAGGTCCGTATTTATGCGACCGCGGTTCATCAGGGGCAACCAAAGCGAGTTGAGTTGTCCCCCCCCTGTTGCCCAGTGACACTCGACAGAAGAATAGAATTGACACCCTTTGGGTGGGTTGACTCCCTTTTTTGCCTGGAAGGAGATCAACCCAAAAATAAAATTTTGAGGCGTCCGGACTCTGCAACCCGTTTTCGGGTCCAATTCGGATGCCTTGGCGCCAGCGATCGGAACTCCTTTCTTCGAGCCCCTGCGAAAGGTCTAAGAGATTGGGACACCAACAAAATGGCTTCGGAACAGGTGGTGAGAGTGAATTGGCCAAACAAAGTCCGATCGTTTTGCGTACCGCTCAAGTGGTTTTCCGCCCCCTCAAAAAAAAAAAAAGAACAGGAATTCAGGATGTGAGCTATGAATCAGTGTGTTTATCTAGACTCCAAACTCTCAATACTAAATGAGAATTAGGCTGTAGCCACTCCCAGACTTCCCGCCGACAGCAGCAGTCGAATTGGGGGGCATACTAGAACCAACACAGGACAAATCCATTTGTAAAACCATGATTCACCTCCCCTTCAAGGCTTGTATTGAAAAGACAATAGAAAACAATCCATCGATTCGAGCGGATATTTACTATTTAAGGGGGCCCGGTGTGTGTACGTATGAATTCGACAGGCCTTTGATTCGACTTCGCGGGGATTCGATTCGAGCGCGAGGTCCTCATGCGCCGCCCCGCATTCGACCATGTCCATCTTAGGCGTGGCGCTCAAGAACTGGCAATCCGTCAAATACGCCAAGTAGACCCTGGGCGTCGAGAAAGCTCGGTGGCGAAATCTGCGAAGCCCTGCCAAAAGTGAAACATGTTTTAGTGGTTGAATACGGAAAACCCATTAGTTGGATCAAATGTTGGATCAAAAAGTTAAAGTCCGAAAATCCCTTCATGCACCAAAGAAACAACAGCCCTCCTTCCGCGGACCTGAAGAGGGATCTTTTTTGGGGATTCCGGGACCTAAACAACACAAGTGAGGCAAAAAGATCCCTCAATGGGCAGGATCTTTGGGCTGTCCGGGACCCCGGACAAAAAACCAAAATGGGTTGCCGCAACTGGAGATCTCCAAGGGATGCGGTGATCAAACAAGTCCAAGGAAACAAGCCATTTCAGCCCATCCCAGAAACTCCAGGGATCTTATTGGTTTTGACAACCACGGCCATGTCATCCCCAACTCAGCTGCTCAGCTGCCCAAGGACCCAAAAAAGCAAGCCTTCTGCATCCTCGACTGACTATGCACCACATCAAACCCAAAAGCCTAGGGGTAACTTCCTTTTCCATTCTTTCCAGGGATCCGAATGTGTTTAGAAAACTCCCAAAAACAACCTGGGGAAATGGCGATCGGTTTTTGAAAAGAAGGATGGCTAAAAAGAATGGGGAATCCACCCCTAGATTCCTAGGTCCAGTAGAGAGGTTAGAAGAAGGATACCCTTTTTTCTGTAGTCTATTTTAGTAGGGGAACCCTCCCCAAAAAAAGGGGAGAGAAGGGCACCCGTCTGGGGGACCTAGACTCATAATCGACTAAAACAAAGGCCTCGGGAACTAAAACAAGTCCATCGGATTGGAGCCCTAAGCAACCGACGGGCCGGGGCCAAATTCCCAACTGACAGCTTCCAGCCAAGAGCCCGTGAGGTTGTCAGGCTTCATGTGTTCCAGCCAAGGTCTGCCAAGGGTGGTTAAAAAGGTTTTTTGCCCTTTAACCCTCTAGAACCAGGGCTGCAAACCCCAACCCACCAATCCAAGCCAGCAATTCAGGCTTACTTGATGAGAAAATGGCGGGAAACAACAAAAAGCAGGTGCACATGCAACGGCTACGGCCGGCTCAGACATCCAATAGCTCCTTCTCAGCGCCGCGCATGTAGAAAATCCTCGCTGAGCCGACGCAAAGCAGGCCGAAAAGGTGTCACGCCAAAACGAACAAGGAAAGAATACAGCGTAACATGTTCAATAAGTATAACAAAAGCAATCAAGGACAATCACAAGCAACAGATATGTGAATGGCAATTTCCAGTACGTAACATACATCACAAAACACGGAGAACCAAAGAAAGCCGTTAAGAAAAGAGGAGAAAGCAAAAGGGACACCGGCGTCGCTCTAAGCCGAGCATCATGTTCCAGAACATCGCGATGAGCGGGAACTTCAGGATGTTCATGCTATTGGGCTGCACCTGACGTATAGGTCCAGAGGTGCCCGTTTGGTAAAATAATGTTAACCCCTGGTTGATTAATAGGGGGGTGTCGCCTTTTAGTGGGGATTCATCACTTTTGGAGGGAACCCCCCCCAAAAAAAGGGACGGGTTTATGAGTCCTGGGTCAACAAACTGACCGTAAAAGGCCACCTATGGCAACCGATGCCGCTTTTTCGTGCTGCACACGCGGCAAAAAAAAACGGCCCCAGGAAGCCAAGCGCTGAACATGGAATCCGACAACGGGCGGATTTACAGGGGCTCGCCTCCAAAATTGGAGAAAACTGGTGGTTTGTGATGCAATTAACTTTCCGCGGGGTTTCCGCAAAGAGTCGGATCCGACCTGGAGCATGAGAAACTGATTTGGCGCATCTCCAGATCATCTCCATGAGTTTCATGCATTGCGTGAGCGACGCAGCGGGGACATCCCCAATGCCACAAAGGTGGGAATTCCAGGACCCTTTCTTGGTTGCCTTTGACCCCCTGCAAAAAGTTTAACTTTTTGGGGGTTTAATGGAAAATAAAAAAGTCAAAGTCTAAAGATCCAACCCAATAGCAGTCAAGCTTTCCCACGGGGAAGCCACCAAACAACAGCGATCCGGGCCGTTGCCCCTTGCTTCGAGTAAGAAGCATTCAGAAGGTCCTGGCTTTGCCTCAAAATGGGTGTCTGTTGTTGAGGGCTTCTGATTCTGGGGGCAATGGCAAAACACAAGAAACACCACTGAAGATAAAGTTGAGGCGGGGGGGGTGGGAGCTGCAAACGACACACCCAGATCGATTCCCACCTTGTCCAAAGTTGGCACCGGCACGCCGCGAATGCTCTTCTCAACCTGAGGTGCAAGCCGAGGGCGATTGGAAAAGAAGTCCAAGCACAATACGTAAATGATAGAGGCCCGGGCCCCAAAACCGAGCTGGTAATCTCTCACTTACTGAATGCATTGGCCCAAGAAAAGTCTGAACTTCTTCTTTACCACTAAATGGAATTCAAATGAATTCAATCTCAAAAAGTGGCTCCAGTCCGAAACGAACTCCAAAGTGCTCAGTTGCCGGACCAGTGGAAATGTAAGTGGCAGCTTGAAGGCACCTGAGCCTTGTCACACACGGAAATTGCAAAAAGCACGTTTGGACATGACACACTCTGGATGGTTGCGAAAGCCATTTCGAACCACCTAACCTTCGCGCAGGAACTCGTCCGTGCACAGCTATTGGACCCTGTGGGTCTGGATAGTGACAGGGGGCAATGTCCAAGAAATGGCTGCGGCTCAAAAAAGTGGTACCAAAATGGCACCTTGGTAAATGGAACCAAAGACTAAATCCCGCGGTTTGCCCCAGCTCTTTAATTTTGAGCCATACCCAAATCGGCCAATGAAACAACCAAAACACGGTCTTGCCCAAGACTTGGCCGGTTTGCGCATCGACTCGACTCGCTGGGCGCCGGCGCGAGCCGGGCGGTGGGCCCCGCGACGCACCACACGAAGGCCTGCCACACGCCCCGCGCGAACCTCGGGATTCGATCAGGCGAGGGGGAGGCTGCGAAAGGGGTCGGTCCTGTGGACGGCGAAATTCCAGTTGCGTGTCGTGTCTTTTTTGGGGATCAACAGGAAAAATAACATGTTGATGATGCTCCTCTAGGTTTCCTTCACAACCCACACGGCAGGGGCTTGCAAAAAAGACCTACTGTATAGAACGAACAGAACCCCCCCCCAAAAAAAAAGAAGAAACCAGCAACCTTGCCAAGAACGGTGAAGAAATCCACTTGGGTCTTGGAAGCCAGCTGAAAAAAAACACAATCTTGGGGTCTGCTAAGGACAAGCACACCCAGTTTGTGCCACCTGTGAAACCATGATTGAAACCATCGTTAGTCGGCTCTTAGGTGGTGCGAGCGGATTTCGTCCATCCGCAGCATGTCCGGTAAGTTCTTGAGTCATGGTCCCTATTTGTTTTGCTTTAGTGTTGCTTCTCTCTTTCTTTGTTGGGGGGGGGGGGTGAGATCAGCTTTGTTTTTGCCAATTTAATGTGTTCAGGCAGTTCCCTGGATACAGCTGGATGCTTCAAGGAGACAGGGCACCCTGTCCGACTAAGGGAGCCCGTTGCATGCGACGCACCGGCGGCTCCCGGCGGCTTCCGTGGGCCGTCCAGCCGTCGCTTTCAACCGGAAGTGTGCTGGAGCCCGTGGGGCAAACCCGGCGGTGGTGAAAGTACGCCACTTCAAGGCCGTGTTTGTTTTTGTGTGTTTTTCTTTTCTTTATATATATATATAACAATAGCTTTAAAAGAGGAAATCGATAAATAACAACAAAGCAATAGGGACCCCCCAAACTGATACCTAACCTGCAAACTCAGGAAGGAAACCCAGGTGGAAAGGCCGATTCTCTTGGAGCCATGTTCTCTTCTGAGCCCCTGCAACCGAAAACATCATTCAAAAAAAAGGCGACGCTTTTGAAGTGTGGAGCCGTGCAAGCTGTTTGGAAACAACGGGGGCACAGTGCGTTAAAACAAGGCAGTGATCAGAGTTACCTTCACTTCGTCTCGGTGTTGTAACCATTTTGTTTGCAAAATAGCCTTTATGTGGCCATGTGCTTGACTGAGCCCAGCAATTCAAAGCGGGGGAGCTATAGGGGAAGGGAACTTAGGAACCTGCCAATTCCCCCCCCCCATACACGTGGCCGTCCCCAAAAGAGAGGGAAAGGCATGCCACGTCCCTCTTCTCATTGAGGCAAGCGCGGTAAGCTCATGTTGATCTATTCCTTTCTCAATCCATTTCCGTGCACAGCTAGCACAGTACCAGGAGAAACTAGATAGAATTTGGTTCTGGGTACTTGAAAATGAGATATGATCATAGGAGTAAAATCTGCAGAATTCTCGGGGCGGTACGCCTGGAAGAAATGATTCCCCGCTGAAAACAGCCCCCACCCATACCAAAAGTGGGCAGTTCCCTTCCATTAGTTCCCTTCCCTTTGCTGAAATGAGCATGGCTTATTTTTCCCCAGATAGCTGAAAGCTATAGGGGTTCTAACTTCTAATAAAGAGTGGAAAGTGATTTGCGAGATTGAGGGCCGGGTGCTAGGGGGCATGCAGTTTGGGGTGCTGGTGGATGCTGCTTTCCAAGCTTGACGGCCGGGTGTTAGGGCGCATGCAGTTTGGGGTGCTGGTGGATGCTGCTTTGCGAGCTTGACGGCCGAGTGCTAAGGGGCATGCAGTTTGGTGTGCTGGTGGATGCTGCTTTGCGAGCTTGACAGCCGGTTCTAGGGGGCATGCGGTTTGGGGTGCTGGTGGATGCTGTTTTGCGAGCTTGACGGCCGGGTGCTGGGTTTGGGGTGCTGGTGGATGCTGCTTTGCGAGCTTGACGGCCGGGTGCTAAGGGGCATGCAGTTTGGGGTGCTGGTGGATGCTGCTTTGCGAGCTTGACAGCCGGTTCTAGGGGGCATGCGGTTTGGGGTGCTGGTGGATGCTGTTTTGCGAGCTTGGCGGCCGGGTGCTGGGTTTGGGGTGCTGGTGGGTGCTGTTTTGCGAGCGGTTCTAGGGGGCATGCGGTTTGGGGTGCTGGTGGATGCTGTTTTGCGAGCTTGACGGCCGGGTGCTAGGGGGCATGCAGTTTGGGGTGGTGCTGGTGGAGGGGCACGCAGTTTGGGGTGCTGGTGGATGCTGTTCGCGCGTAACGGTTTGTGGCTGGTGTATCGTCATGATGTTCGCAACCACGTCATGATGCAACTGGGGTCACTGCGTTGCTGCTTTATGGTTTGTGGGTGTAGTGGCGCCGTGATGCTGCCAACATCAGGCTGATGCTGAATTTCATTATGCTGTCGCAAGATGGTTCGTGGCTGTGGTATCATCATGATGCTGCCTTTACCATCAGCATGATGCTGTTTGCATCACCATGATGCTGTCCGCATCATCATGATGCTGTCCGCATCATCATGATGCTGTCGAACTCATCAGGACTGTATCAGCATGATGCTCTCAACATCATCATTGAACTCATTAGGACGTTGTATGCGCGTTTGTAGCGCACCATGCTCAGTGGCTGTGGTATCATCATGGTGCTGTCTACATCATCATGATAATGCTGCGTCATGGTTCGTAGCCGTGGTGTGCTATCTGGGGTCTATGCTGGTGTATTGTCCCTGATGGTTTTTAAAGGGAATCATCACTACTGGACATGCTGTGGATGGACGAAATCCATTTCGGACCACTTGGGAACTAATTAATTATGGGAAACCATTGAGTTGGTTGGCGTTTGTAGGGGAAATCGAATCAGACACCAGGAGTTTCTTTGGTGGTGCACGATCTCGTCCGTCCATAGTATTTCTCTCTTCTTCCAGGGGACCACAACGCAAATGATCAGCTTCCCCCAAAGTTCGGCTTCCCATTTACCTTCTGCAAGAACCAGGCATTTAAATCCCCAAACCTCAAATCCAAACCAGCAAAGAGTTTTCCTCTTAAGGCGACCTCCTGTCAGCTGCCATGGCAAAGTGGGGAGGGTACCTGTGCTTTTTCGCCCCCGAGACAAAATCAGAAGATATGTCCAGTGAAATCAATTCCCATACAACCAGAAAGAAAAATCAACACATACGTATATTCATTTCAGCAACATTCCATTTGCTTGAGCCCACTGGAAAAAAAAGGTCCAGTAGTGAAATCGATTCCCTTTAAAATCAACAGGGGGAAAAACACAATATTCTTAAGCAGAGGAGCTACCGCCTTCGTTTTTTGGGGTGTTGGACCCTATTCCACTGCAATACATCCCTTGTTCCGAGCCTTTTGGTGGTAGCTGCCACGGGCCGTTTGCTGGGCTCCGGGCACTGGCTGGATGGCCACGGCACGCTCCAGGAACAGCAGCGAGGCCCGGGTGGCGTCCGCCAGCCACCAGGTGGTGAGCCAAATGAAGACCTCGATGGAGCGACGGAGACCGAAGCACCGATTTTCGAACCTTGCAAGACACCGGCGAAGAAACAGGAAACACCTGCGACTTCCAAGACACCTGGCAGAAATGGAGAAACACCCCCAAAAAACACCAAACAAACTACAATTGAAATGTGTGTGTGGGGAATATTTTGGCGTTCACTGGTTTCAGGAGCCACTGGATGTCCCCAAATCAAAAGTTGATCAATTTAATTGTGGATTCCACAAAAACTGCCACTTTTGCAGGGCCAAAAAAGAGGACATTCCTGTAGCTGGTTCTCTTTGACAGAGACATCCTCAGAAGTGAGCTAGACAGTGCTTGAAAAGGATATCACCCCATTTGGGAACTTTCGAGAGGCCTCTCCTGGATGAATTCCCTTCCACACTGAGAGCCAGCCAATCTCATCCCTGCTTTCAACAGGGATCCTCACATTATACACCTGAACATTCAACTTGTAAATGGTGGTGTCCATTTCTTTATTTTGGTGTTGAAAAAGCAAAACATGTATCTCAAATGGGAAAGCGAAATGTGTCCATTTCTTTATTTTGGTGTTGAAAAAGCCATCCATGTTTCAAACGGGAAAGCAACATGGAGATCTTTTAAGGAGCCCCGTTCAGAGCATTTTCTTCTCCTCCCAGGGGCCCTCGGGCCACCCCGAAACGCGCACCAATTTGGGCGCCCTGCGTGCTGCTGCTGCAGGAGCCGATAGGCCTGGAGCTTACCACTTTTGAGCTAGACTCCTAACCCAAACGGTGTGGGAATCATGTTTTTTGTTGGGTGGTTTTTGTGCAGCCGAATCAAACATGGCCGAACCAAAAACACATGAGCCTAAACTTTCTATCCACTCAATGTGAACCCCTGATTGATAAACAAATGCTACTCAGGAGGTCCCCGGCCTGTCTGGAAGAAAGGATTCGCACCAAAAAGAACGCTCTTTTTACTAAGTGGGCACAGCTTCGATCCATTTGCTGAAATGACTTTGTTTCTTTTGCCTGCTGGTTTTAAAGGGGATCGATTTCACTACGGGACTGTGGATGGTTGCGAAGTCCTCTTAAGCAACACCGTTCAGAAACCCAGGTTTCTAATTCCATTCCCCAACATACGTGGCAACCAACAATGGTTTCAACCATGGTTTCCTAGACAGAATGGAACCCAACGGACAAGTCGCCAAAAAGGAGCTTCCTCGACAAATGAACCTGGGGCCATTAATTTCACAGTTTGCTTGCATATCAAAGTCAGCAACTGGGCGTTCCCTTAAACCTACACTTGGAGACGTTGATGGTCAACTGATGGGGCCACTGGAATCCAAGTGAAATGTTCCCCCCAAAAAAGAGGCTCCTCGACAGATGATGGGGTTTTGAGGGTATGCGCAATATCCAAGACACTATGGGTGTGTACTTGACTCGTTTTGGGGGGCTCAGGTGCCCAGCGGGCATGGGAAAAAGAGTATCCTTTTCTGGTTGGTTGAGTGCAAAAGGGAACCCTTCCCCAAGAATATATGACAAAAAGGGCGCCACTGGGCAACGGAATGCAATAACTCTGAAGACCCGAAGTTGGAATTGGATTGCAAGTGAAGGACCCACATGGTAAGCTCGTCTTACCCTCGTGCAAGCTCGTCAGAAAGTTGGCAGACGCTACCCACTTCGGGAGACAAATTGGGAGGTCCTTGGAAAACCCTAGCACTTTTAGGAGTTAACGTCATACAAATTAGAGGCAACCCCCAAAAGCACAGATCTTTAGCATAAGAAAGATCCAAAGTTTTGAAGGGGTGCATATGATACATCCACAATATGTCATTCTGCGGGTTGCGCGACCTCGGAAGAGAACATGACGACGAACAGCAAGTGGTTTTCATGCCCCCTACCCCTATACGAAACGGATACGCTATACAATCTGCACACGCTACAACCAGGCCAAGGGGGTATATGTAATAGTATATGCACCCTCTGTCAGATTAATTGCAATACCTTCCAGTTGCTTGAGCCCCTGGGAAAATGGAATTGCAATAGTGATAGATTCACGGTAAAACCACAAAGGCAAAACAAACGCATTTCAGAAATGGAAGGTAGTGGTACCACGGGCAGCTATGGGTCCGTGAACAACACCTCGCTGGATGACAACAAACCTTGCCGACTCATGCGGGCACGTCCTCCTAGGCCACCGGTCAAAGTAACGGCTTGCGGTAGCTTGGCGTGCATTGGCCCGCTAAATGTGTTTCTCTTCCCCAGACTCGGGCGCCTATAACCCCAAACTCAGGCGCCTATAACAGTGACAAGGGAGGAGAACGAACAATTTTCCTTACCCTTTAAAACTCCAAGCCCTGGGGAAGTCAATCTTTTACAGACATACCTGGGTCTTCCATTTGGTCACTTTTTAGGGCTCTGGGCATGTTTTTTGCTCGTTTCAGATTTTGAGCGGAATAACTAAAAATGAGCGGAAATCTTGATTTGGCATGATTTGGCAAGTTGTCTCCCGGAAAATGAGCGGAAATCGGCGGGAAATGAGCGGAAATCGGCGGGACATGAGCGGAAATGTGCGGACACGCACCAGAACCACTTTCCATTTGAGCGGTTTCTTTCCAATTGAGCGTTTTTGGATGAAATGAGCGTTATTTTTGCTCGAAACGGGAAAATCCGGAAAAAAGTGGGAAGACCCAGGTATACAGTAGCCCATGTTACCCAAAAAGTTGAGAAACGTGTTGTGTTTTTAAGAGGTAAGTTTCAGGGAAGCCAGAAGGACAATTTTCCGCCCGAGTTCAGAACCCAACTGGCGCACAGCGCTGAGGCTTGGGCCGTGTCAGAGTACTGTACCACGAGGTACCAGAAGCTGAAGCACAAGAAGATGTTGTCGTTGCTCAGGGCACGCCTCACGCAGAAACACACAAATTCGCGCTGAGGTGCTGTGTTTTTTTCCCCTCTTTGTGCTCTGTGCGCGCTCGGAAGAGTTCAAAGGCTTGGGGTCTGTTAAAGGCCGCCGGTTTGCACCCCGCCAGGAAACAAGGGATACATATGACTCATATGATAAATACTGTGGTAACTTAGTAAGGTTTCCGTTGGGGGCAGTTCTTTGAGACGAAACTCGTAGGGCCTGGCCCTGCAAAGTCGGAGTGGTTCTCAGGGTTTGGCCCGAATGGTTGCCAAGCTTGGCCCGTTTGCATCACAGAGACCAGCAAAAATCGGGGAAATCAAGGAAGACTAGGACTAGCAGGGCCCCCTAAGTCCCGGTTTTCGATTTACATCACAAAGAAGCGACCAGCAACCCAAAAGGAAGGGCTCCGGACTCCAGACGTGCAGTGGATCGAGGCCGCTGCTGGGGCGCGCCGGACACGAACACGAGGTCCGAGAAGATAGCCCCTGGCGGTGCTTGAGCCTTTTGGAACAAGTGGAACCACTGGCAAAGAAGAAGCCCAGGTGATATCCCCACAGAACGGTGATCACTTCAAAACCCTCCAGACCCTGCCCTCATGGCTGCTCCAAGCCACCCCAGAGCAAAGCGCTAACTAGGCCACAGCTTCAAACCATTTCTGTAACTAGAGTCGCCAGTGTGTACGACTCGTTTCGAGGGGAAAGACACTTGGCCATGCTCCCCTGCCAATTGGTCAGAAACAATCCAAACTTCTTGCAATGAATGGTCTACCCAAGAAGTTTCAAGTCCAGAAACTCAGAGGAAGTGAGGAAAATCATGCTGCACATGGACCGATTCACTGCAACTAAATTCGGCCTGGGTAAGTGTAGCACACCATGCCCAGCAGCCAGCCGAAGATCCACGAGGGATATCGCCTCGCAGCTGGTTGGAATTCGGCTACTACACTCCAGGATGCTGTAGGTTTCTACGGCAACTCTCGAAGGATTTGCTGTGTCCAACTGCGTTTTGCAACAAATGGCGCAAATGGCCTTGTCTCTGGCTGACGTTTGCTTTTACAATCTTTGGCTTACCATGTTTACTCCTGCCACCCACAATGGTTGGCACGTGTCGCAGGGTACGTGGAATGTCCTGTTCGAGGGACCGGGAAGTCAAGCTTGTGGTAGTTTCCCTTTGATTGCCCTTTAAAACAAACACCAGAGAGGTAACAGCTCGCTTGATTGTCTATGCCGGTCCTTGGGTAGCAGATAGTGTAGCATGGTCAAATCCGGCTTCAACTGGAGCAGACTTAGCGCTACAACGAATGCCGCAAGGCCGCATATCGCAGGTCTTGCATTGGAAGGGAACACGACCTACAATACCCTTCCGTTTGCCGAAGGCAAACAAAACTCTGCACTTACCCTCCCAACAATGGGAGCGCGGGGTGTGACTGTCTCCACCTCCATTCTCCAAACCGCGCTTCGTCCCCTGGCAGAGGCAGTTGCACCCCTCTTGACATTACTCCATCCAAAAGAGAAAAAACAAAAACAAGGGGCTTCCTGGGGGCCTCCTGCAGCCCAAAGTTCAAGTATGTTTTGATCCACAGGGGGAAAATGGGTTTGATCCGCAGGAACTCTTCAGCACCCACTGCTGGATTTCAAGCTGGCAGCTTAGGCTCCCCGGCTTGTCGCCACACTCCTTGCCTTAGCGAGCTACAACATCCACAGGCACCACTTAAGAAGTGGTTCACTCCTTCATAGCTCAGTTGCCCCTGACAAACCCAGAAATACAAGGTGATCGCCTTTCGGGGCCATCACTAGACATGGACCAACAAAAAGAAACCGTGAGTTTCAGGCTTTGGGGAACTAAGATAGGGTGACACCCCCTATCAATCAACCAGGGGGTCTGCCTAGACTTGGGTGCCCATTTTACAATCGACGTCAATGGGCCCGAAAGCGTCCACATTTTTTGTTTGCCACTAACCCTTGTCTGTCCCTTGAAAGGAACACAGGGAGTGCACAATATAACAATGTTCTTCAGGTCCGGAGCAAAGCAGCTGGGCAACGCTGGGCTTCCGAGTTTCCGGGCGCAGCATCACATTGCCGTAGCAGGTAAAGCCAATCTGGGCGCCGCTTCGGTTGAAGCGGGTTCGATGTGGCCTTGAACAAAATGGAGGTCCTATGGTTGTCACGCCCCCCAACGGGGGCCCCCCCAATCCCAGTAGGGGAAATAGGGTTCCTTTGGATACCTTTCTGATATCTCCACCCTTTGTTTTGGGGGCGGGTCGAAGGGCACGTTGGGTGCTCCTTAGAGTGGCCCACTGAAGAACATATTCTCTGACTCTGTTCTATATGTAGTCTACCCGAACTACAGTACGTAAAACAGTTCACCAAGGCGTAAAGCCTCTCTTGCACTGACTGATCAGCCGGTCAGCGAACAAATCAAGTGACCAAGCGGGCGACCCATCGAAAATCAGGCCCCAAAACCCAGCACAACAAATCATGACAAACCTGGGTCTCATTTTGGAACGTTGGATGGCACTGGCAAATGATCGATGCCAAGCAAATACCAGTGCTATGCTCAACAACAACTGACAGGTTGGTCAAGAAAGTTAAGATGTGCTTGTGCATCTTGCTTTCCATCCTTTTGTATGGTTTACAGCCCCCTTCTAAAAATGAACAGAACCCAAAAAAGCAACAACAAACACTAAAAGCCTTGGTCTGCTTTACAGCCCCCGATTAAACAAGAACATGAACCCCCCCAAAAAAAACACGCCTAAAGACATGATCCAACAACAGTGAAGCTTGTTTACTAGATTCCAACTCCCAGAGAAATCATTGCATCACGGACTCGCTTGGAGCCAGGCCATCAAGGCGACGGGGTAAGAGGTTCGGGACGCCAAGATCACATCCTGGCGAGCCGAGTTTGGCGTTCTGACTGGCCCCCCAGGCTGGACTCCACATGATTACAGTTAGGCCCAGTTCTAGAATGTATATCTTATTGTCTGCTTCACTTTGAGTCACTGGAAAAATGGGAAATGTATCCTAAGTCTATCCCAGTCTACCTTGGGGTAGTCCAAAAAAACAAAAACTGCACCCAGCTTGGATACTGTGGATGCGAAATCCGTTTTTTAGGCACCACCAAACTGAGAAATCCCTGGAATGGTTCGGTTCCCCAACGTAAATACCAACCAGCAATGGTTTTTGCCACGCTTTCGAAGTGGTGCAAAATGCATTTGATCCATCCACAGTATGGCAACGCGAGAAGCTGCTTGCAAAAAGGAGAATGACGAGCGGTGAGGCGTTGTGAAAGAAACCGACACACCGTGCAGCCCACCCCTGACCCAAAGCATCTGTTGATCCGGCTGCACACGTATTGCCCTAATTAGGCAAAAGGCCCGTCCACATCTTCAGTGAGCCTACACTCAGCTTCCTGTTTGGATTCTTGTTTTGGAGGTTCAATTACCCTAAGCACTAAACACACCATTAAATGCAACCTGATAAACATGTCTAAAAAATCGAACGAGATACCAGCATGGCTCCGCCTGCTTGCCCTAAAACCTGGTGGGACGAGCTGTCCCATGATCCCAGCGATTGGGGACTACTTCCTTTTGAACAGGTTTCTGCTGGAGTCCTAGATGTCCTTGACAGATAGATGGTCCTACACTGATCAATGAGAAGCAATACTGAAACCAGCGGCATTCATGTCAGCCAAACCGAAACACTTTCTATGGCTTGGTCCAGCCAACGGTTTTTCCAAACATCTTCCCAGTTCCTGAGTGGGTTGGCCAGAAAAGTCGCCAAACCTGTTCTTGCCACTAAAATTATTGCTTGCCTTTGACCCCCCTGCAAAAAGTGAACAACTGTTTGGGGGCTTAGTGGAAAACACCTTTATTTCAACCAAAAAGTTAAAGTCTAAAGATCCGTTGCCCAATAGCAGTCAAGAATTGTCCAAACCCAAAAAGTGACTGAGGTCCAGGAACTCAGGACGTTTTTGTCCTTTACAACCCCTTCACATTGATGCACCAAACGGACCTGTGCGACCAGTCCTATGAGGTTTGAGTTGCCATAGATCTAGTCGGGTGGTCTAAAAATTCAACAATACCCTCGCACAGACTAGCATGCCCTAAATAGCGCCATTTGAACACGGACCCCCTTCTTTTTGGTTGCTTCCGTTAAAATCACATGCCCCAACAACGTTTTATGGTTGCTTCCGTTAAAATAATATGCCCCAAAAACGTTTTATGGTTGCTTCCGTTAAAATCATATGCCCCAACAACCGTTCTTTGGTTGCTTCCGTCAAAATAATATGCCCCGAAAAAAACCTTTTCTCGGGTTGCTTCCGTTAATCTGAAGGAGAGTCATTCCGAAACCTGAAAGACTTGGATCGTCAAGCCTTCATGAGATGGTTTTGTTCCATTTGCGTGTTTGTCCCCCGGAAAAAAGGACTAATTTCCAGTAGTGATAGATTCCCTTTAAAACCAACAAGTTGGCGCCTGCGTTGGCCTGTTTACTGTTTCCAAGCAGGCCAAGTGTGGAAACTATTTATAGACCTGCAGAAGATACTTATAAACACGCAGAAGCTATTCATAAACATGCAGAAGCTACTTGTAAACACGCAGACGCTATTTTTGCGCATGTGAAAGCTACTTATACCTTGGAAACGGCTTGCAAACACGCAAGCAATGTTTGCAACACTACTTAAGCAGGGCTTCAACCAGCAGTCAGCAGCAATGAAACCTCAACAAACTATGCGCACAACCGCTGACACACCCAACAGCCTAAGCTCGGCGGTTGATAGATTACGTATGTGGCTTGGTGAGTGTGACTATGTCCCATTGCTTCACCTGCGCTGCGCAGCAGATTTGAGCACTAGGCTGCAAAGCTCATTGGTGCGCAACAGATGCTCAAACCTGATTACCCTTCAGAACCTTGGGCTTCGCAAATAAATAAGGTGACCAGGCAGTGACCGCAACTTAATGTTCACCACCGGCGTCAAGAGCACGATTCCACGCATGGTATGTAGGCATTGACATTGCGCAAGCAGTCCCTCGGACATTTTGGCACGGGTCATAAACATGTCACATGTGTTGCGTTTTATGCTATGATCTGGCGCTTGCTGCTTGCCGGCTCACCTTAGGGCATCGGCAAAGCGCGCGACAGGTTGTGCTCTTGTATTCCGTTTGGCGCGTCTTTGGAGTACTGCAGCTACGCTATGTTGAGGTTTGGTACGTCTCCGCGAACTCCGCCGTGTTATACCAGCTTTAAACCATCCCATGCCACGTGCTTTGCCTGTGTGTTCTAGGTGTTCAATGGGTTCACTTGCGCCGTGAAGACGGGGGGTCAAATCACATCATGGAGCTGCCCAGATACAATAGTCAACTTATTGCAAGCCAACGTGTTGGCTGCCCACGCATAGCTTTGCGACACTATGTTTTAGCTTTGTGCTGCATCCTTAAAATCGAAAGAATCGGTTGGGCCCGCTTTCAACTGATTGACTCTCACGCTAGCCTGCGATAACTTCAGAGCGGTAAACATTTTTTCTGAGCAAGCCTCCAAAGATCGCAACGGTTCCGCGTTATAAATAGTTCACGACGGTTCAGAACGGTTACGAACTATTTGGGCTCAATGGTTTGATAATAGTTCGTAACGGTTCGGAGCGGTTGCGAACTATTTATGCATCCAGAAGTGTCCGGAACTGTTTGGAACTATTTGGAACTATTTGGAACTATATATATGGGCTGGGTCGCACAAATAGTTCGCAACGGTTTCGAACGGTTGCGAACTATATGTAAAGCATGGCCACAAATAGTTCACGACGGTTCCAAACGGTTACGAACTGTCTGTAACGCATGGCTACAAATAGTTCACGACGGTTCCGAACGGTTACGGACTATATTTGAAGCATGGCCATGAAATAGTTCGCGACGGTTCCGAACGGTTACGAACTATGTTTGAAGCACGGCCATGAAATTTTTCACGACGGTTCCGAACGGTTACGAACTATGTTTGAAGCACGGCCGCAACTGGTTTACGACAGCTCCGAACTGTCAGTGTCCAGCCGCATGGTTGAATAATAAGTGCCAGACATTCTGAACACTCGCAGCAGGTCTCGGCAATAATCTCAAGACTGCTTGGCGCGCTCGTCGACGCTACTTCTCTATTTCGACGCCAGCTCGTCACGGAACTGTTTTCTTGGGCACCTTGGCCAACTGTCCATGATAACGCGGAGCCACGGGCCTTTCAATTTCTAAGACGATTCGAGCTTGAATGATTGAAGCAGCTAGGGGTGGCGTTGCGTCAGTGATGTGATTCTTCGGCGCGCGGCCTTTTATACCCCGGGCTTCAACGCGGATTGCTAAGCCGGGTGTCCGCACTCTGCGAATAACAGGCTAGTTCACGTTTTCGGGCAGGGGTGGCGTTCGTCGCTTGGGCTCCAGCTGGGTAGGCTGGGAGCCAAGGCCTGTGTTTCCAGCCTAGCCCCCTTTCATAAATAGTTTCCAGCCTTTTATAAATAGCTTCCAGTCATTTATAAATGGCTTCCAAGCATATAGAAATAGTTTCTTCATTGTTTTGAGAAGGGGGCTTGAAAACAAACGGCTCGCGTAAAACCCCGTCTGGATACGTGATGGCCGGAGCCAGCTGATGGGCGGCGCAGTCCCCCTGCTAGTCCTGCCAGCGCTGCCAGTCCTTGGCAAGTTCTCCAGCTGTGTCGGCCAGTCCTTTTGTCCTGGCCAGACCTGTGCACACCTTGCGTGGCGCAGGTGGAAGAGCAATCATCACGCCCTCACCCTCTCGCACGGATGATCAATGAAAGCCACAGCCATGCCCTCGCAGCGCTTGTAAGGCGAGTCCCAAAACCAAAGTCTTAGCGCTGTTGGCGAAGGACTCAGGAACGTTTGGCAACGCGATGATAGTGAGGATGATGGCGGTTGCTGGAACGTCGAAAGTTAAGACGAACCTAGACGTGAGGCGATGCACTCTGCGGCACAGAGGACTTGGCCGGACAGCGAGCTTACTTCAGTAACTTATTGCAACAAAGGGAGGGGGAAGAGCAGTCAGCAAACAGGAGTAGGTTGGCACCTAAAATGCAAAATGGGTGAACATGTCATACAAGTAGTATATAATTTCCAGGCATCGTCCTCAGCATTCATTTCTCCTTGAGTTGTGGTGATTTTGGTGGCCCTGCTTATCCAGGCAAAGTATTCAACAGCGGTTGGGCGCTTGCGGGCCTCTCACAACATCCATCCACACTGCGCTGAGTGAGCATTTGCTTGTTGCTAGCTTTTCAAAGCAATTGAAGAAAAGTCGTGGCGCAGTCATGAAAGCCCAGGCCCTCAGTAACAGGGCCGGAATCACTTCCAGCCTATTCTAGCTAAGAAGGTCTTGAGAAGGAAACTTGTGGGGCCTGCTGCCTGCAGGCTAGCCGTGCCAAGAGAATAGGGGAAGATGACCGCCAGCAAGTGTCGTGGATGCGTTGCACGAATGATGCATACTCAGACTCCAAGGATTTGTAGAGAAGTTGCTTGTGTGATTGTTACAGAAAGGCTTAGCAGTCAAGGGAGTCATTCCCTCCTTTTTCTTCACGATCCTTACTTAACCACCAATCATGAGTTTCGACGGAAGGCCTTTTAACCCGTACGTCAGAAGTCCCGAAGCATGTCACACAGAGCAAGTAGATCAAGCCTCCGCAGCAACACGACTGGAGCCTTCTCGCCCAAGCAAGCGGCTGTTGCTGGGCATTACATAGGTCCATCAGCGCGCTGGGTGGCAGTGTTAGTTATGTTTGTCACGAGTTTCGCCATTTGTATCATCACGCATGGTCGCGCGGTGTGTAAGCTTCGCCGCACTGGTCCCTGTGGTTTGGGTACAACCCCACTGGATACAATGTCACCTGAGCTCAATAGAGCTGGGCCTTTGGGAGCTGGAGGCGCTAAGAGGCCAGATCTGTCAGCGAGGTAATTGACGCAAAGTGCAGTGATGACAATGATGACGGTGGCGGTGCTGAAGTTGGTGGTAACTTGGTGCAGTGTGGCAGTGACAGTTGCGGTGGAAGGCTTTTTGCAGGGGTGTTGTCCGCAGTGGGGCGTTGATGGTAGTGAAAGGTAGCAGTCATTGAGGTTCAAAATGTTTTCTGCGCTGCTGGCGGTGGCGACAGTGGTACTCGCGGGCATGTGTTGGCTAGCCAGGGAGTAGTGAAGGTACTGGACGTGGCGCTGGTGTTGAGCCAGTTCTCCACGGAGGGCGCGTTTGTGTTTACATCGAACGACCTTTCTTACATCCGGCCCTTGTCGCCCTGTCCTGTTTTAGTTTTGTGTGAACCTGCTGTTCCCTGAGCGCAAACATGTGCTGCAGTTGCACGCGTACAACACGCCATCCAAACTACAGCTTGCAAGCAGCTGTTGTCCAAACCAGCCTGAGAGTGGAACTAGCTCTAAATAGTTCCAAATGATTCCAAAGACACCTCCAAATAATTCCAAATGGCTCCAAATAGTTCTGGGGGGTGGTTTCAAATAGTTCCGTGCATGTTATAAATAGTTCCCAGCCATCTATAAATAGTTCCCAGAGATTCATAAATAGTTCCCAGAGATTTCTAAATAGTTCCGGCCATGGTGGGTTCCCAAAACAGAAAATGGGTTTAAACAGGCCAACGCAGCCGCAAACCAACAAGTGAAAATATAAAATATTCTTAAGCAAATGGAAGTTTTCCTATCGACTTATCATTCGCCAAATCGGAGAAAACCATACGGAAAATGACCGATGGACGGCTTCAAATCTCCAAATCACCACAAGCCGAGGCACGTAGTGCAACCAGCCCAGCGGCCTGAAGAGGCCGTGACCAAAATGGACATGTTGCAAAGCCGGGTATGTGACCAAGTTGATCCTTGTTTGCTCTACGGCCCACATGTGCCATCGCGGCCCGAACATGGCCCGGGTTGAATGGTCGGCTTGAAAAACAAAGGAATGAACTCAACAATTGCCATCCCCTCAGAGCTTTCCAACTAACTCATTTCTCAGTAGTTGGACATTGAGCACCCACACAAATATAACAGAACTCACGGCTAGCTTGAGTGCATCCGTCGAAGCTTCCCAAAACTGTTGAATTAAGAAACGTGCACAGCTCTGGGCCAATTGCTGCAAGCCCCAAACCACACAATAAGGAATCCGCGCTACAAGCGCTTTGATCAAGGGTAAGCTCGTTTTAGCCCCAGGTGCGCTTGTCAAAATTTGCACTTTCCGAATCAACCAGCTTAAATGGAGAGGGAACCGCAACTTCAGTGGTATCACTGGAACATGTCTAAGGGCGAAACCCCAGCCGAAACAAAAATCACGTTGATACCAGGCAAGTTTCGTGGAAACTTCTCAGAAGGGGTGTTTAGAAAGGGTTCTTGTTTCATCTTAGAACCTCCATTTGCCTAAGTCTGCGGGAAACATTAACATATGTCCAGAAGGAATAGGTTCCCTTTAAAGCCAACCGGAGGAAATACTGTGGATGGACGAAATCCTGCACCACCTAAGAAACCCTGGAATGATGATTCACCTGTACAAACCAACTATCAATGGTTTCCCATGGTTTCCAAGTGGTGCAGGATTTCGTTTATCCACAGTACCATAAGAAATGGAAGAGAAAGGCGAGGAGTTGGACAACTTTCGTAGCCCGTCTAAGCCGCCAGGCCCTCTTTTGTCCGGCTCATCGTCGTCGAGGTCCGAAGAGGCTATCTGTGGGTAAGCGTGCAAGGGAGGCGAAACCATATTTGTGATGGGGCACCCCAGAATAGGTGGTTTCCTGTCTCATTCCCCTTGTGCCCTCAACCACTGCATGCACAAAGCAACAAACCTAGGTCCTCCAGCTTTGAGAGCTTAGAATAAGTTCTATTTTAGTAGGGGAACCATGGGGAACCGACTCTCCCAACCAAAAAAGGTGGTCACAGGGCACCAATTGCTGGACCTAGAAACACCAACTCACACTCGCGCGCTGCGAACCTCGGGCCCGGAGACCGCGGCGGCTTTGCTGGACCCTTTTGGTTTGGGAAGAGTCGGACCCGAGAGGAGAAGCAAGGGCTCCTTTCGGGTTTCTCCAGCCATTTGGGCCAACTCCACCAGCAGAGGCTGCAACCATGCAGCTACCTTCGGGTTTTCCGCCCCTTTCCTCCAATGGGTTGCAAATGGGCCCATGCAGCTATTTCCTTCTTGAGTGGATCTTCGGGCTTTCCGCCCCTTTCCTTCTTCAGTGGATGGGTGGTTTCTCCAGGCGTGGCCACTTCCACCCACGTCGTCTCGAACCCTTCGGGCTCCTTCTCGGTCACGAAGGCCCTGGCGAGTGGCGTTTCGGGCGAGTGGCGTTTCGCGGGCTGGGCTTCACGGGTCAAGTTGGAGCCAGGGCGGTCGGATGCAAACTGTCCAAGCGATACTCATTTGGCATGGTCGTAGTTTTGCAGCGCCCTAAAATTGGACAGAACCAAAGAACCTGAAATGATCCAAGAACAGTGAAGCCAAGTTGTTGTTGCTTTTGGTACTGTATTCTCTGGCCATACTTGCCCTCCGAGTTTGAAAATCAACCCCCGACCTCACCAAGCCAGAATCAGCTAGCGGGTCAGGTTTGGGCGACATTTGGGTGGCTTTCCGAATCTGGAAGTTGTCGCACAAAACAAAACAGATGTGTGTGTGTGTGTGTGTCTTGTTTGATGCTGGGTAAATACCTGTTTTAGGTTGAAGGGAAACCAAGGGAAACCCCACTCATTGTCGAGACAAAACAACGGGCGCCCTTTTAGGGTTCATTGATTTTCATGACCCTCAAAGCAAAAGGAAAAACAGGAGAAAACAAAGAAGAAGAAAAAAAACACGCACTGTAGCTCTGGGGTGTGGAAGGGTCTACATTCAACTCGTTGAGCAAAGTGGCTTGAGATTACTGCAACCCTCCTGCGCACTTGTCAAATCCATGCATTCGATACCTGGACAATTCACATGATACATGTGTATATATATAAGCAATAAATAAATACATAAATAATGTTAAAAGAAAATACATACGTACATATATATGTATATATAAATGACTAACTATACATATACTGGCATGTCCGTTTTCAGCTCCCCTGCTAACAGTTTTAGTTGCTTATATAGATGGAACCCCCCACACTCACTAAACCCTAAAAGCCGAAAAAACCCTTTCTGGGGATGGCTGTTCCACCGCCAAGTATATATATATATATTACATTCTAGGCATGTATGTGTATATATGTGTGTATATCGCATCCCACCGTCTGATAATTGACTCCAAGATCGGACAGCTCGGACTGCTTGACCTGCTTCCCTTCAATCGAATCACGCGGGGAGGGATAGCTAGTGCTCCTAGCTCGTTTGAGCGAGAGGACCTACCTCCCTGACACCCTACCGGTGATAGAACTGGGATGAAAAGCCTTGAACTTCCTTGCGTGCTCCACACATTTACCCCCAAAAGCCGAAGAGGACAGGGAATCCTGGTCAAACACCTCTCAATTGAGTGAGCTCAACATGGCTGGAGGGTGATGGTTCAAACCAAAGCGGGACATATACAGGACAATATAGGGACCCCTGCACCTGTTTCACGGAAAACCCGGTGGAACATCAACTTCCAGGGAGTGGGGGTCGTTTCAAACTGGGCCATGAATTCATTTTTCACAAAGGGAGGGGTGTCCTAAAAGACAAAGGGTTCAGATCGCTCAAACCACCAAGTCGGGGGTGCCTGAAAAACTGCACACACAATAAAGAGACAAATCTGTCTTCCCCGAACGCGACATCCGGGCCTGGACTCCGACTCCTGATGCGATCTGAGTCTGGGTCTGAACATTTATCCCAGAACCACCCCAGAACCCTGTCAGTAGGTTTCACTGTCATGTTGACCCCTCCGGTTAGTGAGGATTCAAACCACTTTTGGAAGGAACACATCCCGAATTGGACGCTTCTATTGAAAAAGAACAAATCCGGGCCAACATTATCCTCCACGTACAACCCCTCCGCAAATGACCTGCAACGCCACAAGTCGCCCTCTGATACCAAAATAGAAATATAGGGATATATATATATATATGTATATAATCATATACTATTTACCTGGGAAATATATGGATATATACTATATGCGTGGATCCCCACCATTTTTTGTGTTCCCCATCAAGTAGCCACATGGGCACCTTGGAAGCAAGGGCAGCGCCGACCCCCCAAGTACTTCCATTTGCGGAAAAATGTTTCCAGCAGTGATAGTGTCCCATTAAAACCAAGAGATGAAACAAAAAACAACCTCTTCTTAAGCAAATGGAAGAGCAATGGCGCAAACAGTGTTTTTTAGTTCCCAAATACAAACCCACCAAAAAAAAGAGGTGCCCTCAAAACACTACAGAATAAACCATGTGTAGATGCCACAAGTTCTCGGTGAATGTGGGGAAACAAAGGGGGCGACAAAATCCAATGGGGGAACTGCGGCCAGAACAAGAGGGCGTGGCACTGCGCTGGGTTGCTCCGCCCCCCCGAAAAAGCAAAAAGAACGTGATCGACCTTTGCAGCTTTCATCAGGGATCACTGGATTTCCCCTTCAAAAGTTGCAATTGGCCGGTGGCTTCCACTGAAACTGCCATTTTTGAAGGTCCAAGAAGAGGAAATGGAGTGATCCCTAGCGGTCAAGCCGTGTATCTCCGGGGGCCTTCGGTCATGAGACTTTGAGGCTCCCACACGTCGCCATAGCCTGGGCAGTTGGTTTGAGCATACCCGGACAGGCTTCCCTATTAAAAGTTGACAAAATAGGAGCAACCCAAAAATGCGTGGATTCGATGCTCCTGGTGATTTGCTTCTATTCCCCCTCCCCCCCCCCCAAGAAAAAAACAAGGCGCCCACCCTCAAAAAGACACTCCGTTTTCTGCTTGACAAAAGAAAGCTCATTTAAATAGGCTTCCTGAAAGTGATGTTTAACACCACCACAAGGGCAAATATAGCGAACCCTGCTGGACCTGCCATGAAAGGATTTTTCTTCGTGGGCGGGTTGGGCGAGTCTTGGTTGCACTCACACCATGCGTGCCAGGAAAACACAGTAGATGTTCAAATGTTAATGGGCAACAGATCAATTCAAGCTGCAACAGAGAGAAACAACGGCTTCCCTACTACACCATGTTTTTGTGGGTGATCTCCGCATTGTATTTGCGAAAACCGCTGGCAGGTTGCCCACCCATGCTTTCCCATGCAATTTGAACACACGGTATCCCCGTACCATAGGGTGGGGGGGTCCCCACTCCCACTTATCTAGTCTTCCCCATAGAAGGGCAAAATGGAATTTCAGGCGTCACCCCCCTCCCCCAATTGCATTTTCAAGGGGGTGGGGATGTACGTCACTGCGTCACCCCTCAACGAACAGAACCAACCGCCTCAAAGCCTGTGAAGGGGAATCAAAGGGGAAACCCTTCACTCGTTGCTTGTTGGTTGGGTCATGTGGCTCGGGAAAACCTTGAAAAACACACATGAACAAAAACACGCCTCCAGTCGCCATGGGCGGCGTTTACGCCTCCCTTTTGCTGGTCTCGGTGCCTCAAGGAAATAGAATTCATGGGTAACGTTGTGGCACTGAACCGAGTATACAAATAAGGGAAAGACATGAGGTGAAACATCGCCTGGTTTGAAGTGCAAGGGACCACCCCAACCGAAACGGATAGCCGCCCTTTTGGCTCTTCACAGGGGCTTGCAAGTTGGGTAGACCACTTCAACACCAGGCTTTGACTATGACTCCACTGGGTCTTGTCCCTTTTCCTTTTGTCAAGTGAGTGAAGCTGTCCTGTTGGCATCGGCACAAAAGCTAACCCAACTGGTCTAGGTCCTCCAGTAGAGAGGTTGGAATAAGTTGGTACCCACTTTTTTCTGTAGTCTATTTTGGTAGGGAAACCCTACCAACCAAATAAAAAGGTAAAAGGGCACTACTGGGGGACCTAGTGTTTGTTTGCCACGATGGAGGGTCTTAACAAGGTGACTGAAGTCCAGTTGGCCTCAGGGAGTGAGCCACTGGAGGTTTGGGAATCACCTTTTGGCAAACAAAAAGCTGCTGGATTTCCGGACATTGTCTGATTTTCTGCTGTGCTGCGTGTCGATTGACCGGGGAAGGCGGAAGAAACTGAAAAAAACAAATGGTGTGTCAAGAGCTGTCTGTATTTTTCCCAGGATGGAAAAGCCACAGAAGTCTTTTCCAGAGAGAAGTGTGTGTTTCTTCCCTGAAAAGCACGAAACTGGCTTTGTCAGGACTTTTACTCAACGATCCATCGCCTGAGGATCTCAGCGCTCCGAAACTCCTCAGCTTTCGGCTCAAAAACTGCCAGGCCCAGCAAGATCCACAGCCTTCGTCGTGGCCTCGAGACCGACGCAGCGAGCGCAGCGAGCGGAGCCCGCGACATGGGTTGCGCAGCGGAACCCGGACGTCGAAGCGGAGGTGGTTCTCAGTTGCCAGTGGGAAGAAAAGGTGATATCACCTTTTGGGACCCAAAGACTCGAAAATGATTGAACAACCAGGGAAACCAACAGGTCAAAAGGTCTTTATTTCGCATTTTTTCGCTTTGGGCAAGTGATTGAAAAAGAAATTCTAAATGGAACCCCCCCCTTCAAGAGGCCTAGGTTTTGAAACCAAATCCTGATGGCGTTTCGCGGTGCATGGCTTTCCCTCAACGACTTTGCTGTTGGCTGAGTAGTTGATACTCCTCCAAGGTCAGCCCCACATAGACCTCAGCATAGTTTTGTCCCTGATCCACAGTTGGAGTGTTAATGCTGTCGTACTCGACAGTAGTGAGGTGGTTCAGGATGTCATCGGGCCTGTAGAATGGTGCAGTGGTCGGCGCAACTGCTGCACACTCTCGGTCGCGAAATCTGCTCCCCTGCCAAACGTGACTAACATGTTTAGTGGTTTTTAATACGGAAAACCCGTATTAGTTGGATCAAAGGTTGGATCAAAAAGTGGTTCAGCCCGAACATCCCTTGGCAAGATGCACCAAAGAAACAAGAGGCCCGCAGAACCTGAAGAAAAATCGCTTCTGGGGGTGTCCGGGACCTCAAGGCCGCGGTGCCAAGACAGACATGGAACTTGCGGCTGCTTCCCTCCCACAACTGGGGCTTGCCCTTGGAACCCCTTTTCTCGGTTGCCCAAAGGACCAACAAGAAATGCCCAAGGAACCAAAAGGCCCAAAGGTCGATTCGCTTTGGGCAACTAAGTGCTGCACAACAAGCCACCCTTCCTGTTGAAGGGAGCCCCCCAACTCAGATGCTCCGTGGCCAGGGAAAAATGTTTTGTTGTTTGCTTCTTCTTTTTTTGGGGACCCCTTCCCAACCAAAAAACAAAACGGGAAAAAAGGGGCGCCACTGGGCAACTGGGCAACTGGGCTACCCTTTGATCCTTTGTCGGCTCGCCCTTTTATTTGATGTTCAAACATAAACCCTCAAAGGTTTCCGGTCAATCGGGAGCTCATTTAGTTCAACTCTTGAAGTATCCGTTTCAGTGGAGACATCACCTTGACCCGCAGAAAACCTTGTAAAACACATCTTGTCTGATATATGGGCTCGTGTTTCTTATCACGTCAAAAAGAAAGAAAACGGAAAACAGTTAAAAGAGAAAAAATAAAAACAGCCTTACGGATTCCTTGGAGAAAAACCCCGCCAAGCCCCACCCAAAACCCAGGGCATCGATTCATTTCGCAGCTGAGAGCCAGGCCAGGGCATGGCGGAGCGCATCCCTGGCCAGAGGGTTCCCATGGGAAAGCGGTGGCAAAACCGAAAGCCGCTGCCGTGTGCTGGATGTGCCGAGGTTGCGTTTTTCTTTTTTTTTGGCGCGGGTTCACCCCATGAGTGTAAGTGGGAAATGAGGGCTTCCGGGTCCAAATAAATTTGCGTTGGTGCTTCAATGGTGATTTGAAGCGGTGTTTCTTGTACAATGAGTACCCCTGAGGTCGAAACACCAAGCCCGGTTTCCACTTCCTGAGCGGATTGGCCAACAAAATAGCCAAACTTTTGATTCACTATGGCTATGTCCAAACCCAAAAATTGACTAAAGCCCATGAACCATAGGCGTCCTTTTAGGGGGAATAGATGGCCTTGGTTGATTAAACCACCAGGTCAACCAGGAATTGCCACCCAATTGTTCGACCAAAACAACCAAAAAAGGGACACCTATGGTGAGGTCTAAACACCGAGCCCGGTTCTAACAGCAGTGAGCGAGCCCCCTTGGTGTGCCAAACAAAAATGCCCAGGGGCTTTTTGGTTTTAAGAAGGGGTTTTGGGCTCAGGGTTTGGGAGATTTCGGGTTTAGGGTTTAGGAGTTTCAGGGAGTTTCAGGGTTTAGGGCTTGGGAATTCTAGGGCTTGAGTTTAAGAGTTTAAATTATAGGGTTTAGGGCTTAGGGTTTGAAAGAAGACAAGTCAGGAGGGTTAAAACCAAAATGGTCAAGGTTTGATTCTGTGGTTGCGAAATCCGCACCACTTGGAAACTATGGGAAAGCCATAGCCTTGGTACCTATGGGGGATTCATCATTGCAGACCTTGGGTTGTGAGAAATGGACTTTGGCCATCCACAGTAGAGGCACCTTTGGGATTTTGGGACAGTGGATGCCGCTGTCATATTGCAAGCAATGGCACCAGAACACCAAAGGCAAGTAAAAGAAAACAATCAACCAGCTTCTGACTTTGATAAACCGTTGAAACAAACGCAAAATCATGAACCCAGTTCACACCAACCCAAAAACGCTACTGTGGGTGCTCTAAATATTGCAAGGAGGGGAACAAGTGAGCGCCCTAAATTTCCTCATTTTTGTTGAGTATGGTTGGAGCAACGGGACAGGAGACAAATTGTCGTCCTCCATCACAAATCCCCTGCGAAAATAAGCCCCGAAATCCGCAGCCCCACAAGCCGGCTCCAAAAGCCTCAAGCTGCCCCCAAAGCTTTCATCTGGGGGTAATGATGAAATATGTCCAGTGATAGATTCCCTTTTAAAGCGACCGGAGAGAATAGAAAACAATTTTGAGCAAATGGAAGTGTTGGTTGGTAGCCGACTTCCTAACAATGAACAAAGCGTGAGGTCTGGAGGCTTACACCTCATTCCAGCCACGGATGACAGTCCAGCCGCGCAACCAAGGCAGGAGGTTTAAGCCACATTTCTTGCAATGTATGTAGGCGCTCACTCCTCCCGCCAAATTGGCACGCAAACCACAAAGGGAAGATGAAGGGGGTTGCCCTTGTCAAGCCAAGAAGTATCATGAACCTACGAGGGCCTTGGGGGGAATGGCTATCCCAGCTCAGCTCAGAATAGGCCAAAGATAAGCCTCCAATACGGCCTCATACTGTGGATGGACGCAATCCTGCGCTCCCTACAGAAACCCTGGAATAATGATTCTCCTGCAACCAGCCACGGTTTCCCACAGTTTCCGAGTGGTGCAGCATTTGGTCCATCCACAGTAGGTTTCTCGCCTGAGCTCCCTTTCTTGGCCGGCCACGTTCCCATTGTATTTGAGCCCTTTAAGTTGTCTTCTAAGGACTGAGGCTACGGTCGGGGTTCTCCGTGCAGTCCGGGGGTCTGCATTGGAGGTGTCATCACCCTTAAGCTAATGCTGACCCCTGATTTATCAACCCCCTCCACATTATTCAAGGGGGTCCCTTTTGAGTGGGAAATCCTTTCTTTTCAGGGATTTTCAGGCAACCCCCCCTGACTAAAATATATGTGGGGGTCAGCATTCTTCTGAACAAACTGTTTTGGTCAAGACCCCAAGCCGTTGCTCTTCGTCCCAGCCGGCGGCCTCTCGAGAAGTCTCGAAAGCCGCGGATGGCAAGGCGTGCGCCCAGCGCGCCCAGCGAAAAGCCGACGGCTGCGAAAGAAGTAACTTTGTGCGGCCAAATATCCGGGCACGACATGCGACTCAGGAAGCCAGTTCTTCAATGCTTGGACAACGCAACCTCCCCCAATCCAACTGTAGACCCAAAGTCTTTGGTTCCCTAAGATGTGTTGCAATTGGGTTAAGGATTTTAATTAACTCTGAGCTCGAAGTCAATTTGGTCCTGGCTGCCCCAGGCTCAAGTTTTAAGGGCGTGCTTTGGCCGGGAAGACAGAGGGAAACCGTCCGAAGTTCCATCCGACTCTTGAATATCATTTTACAGGCTCGGAAGTGATTCAAACAACAAACACCCTGGAAGGCCGTATGGCCATTTTCTTGGGACGGAACCCGTATTTGGATCGATTCTCCCGTATGGTGACTTTTTCTGGCCGGTGGCCGTATTTGGCCATACGCAACCCGCGTCTGTTCAACCAAATCTTCACCAAAACAAAACGTAAATGACCGTGTGGCCATTTTGTGAGGCCCAAGCCGTATGGACAGAAAAAACACGTCACACATGGGGTTCCATTTTAGATGCTCGGGGTAACCCTGACCCGAGCTGCGCGGGAAAAGGCCGGACAGGGAACCTGCATGGCGAAATGTAGTCTGTTGCTGTTGCAAAAAAGGCCCCCCTTCCAACAGCTGGCGGGAGAGGCTGCGGTCAAACTGTCTCCCCAGCCTGACGAGGATTTGGGTGAGCACCCCATCTTCCAAATAATTGCACTTTTGGAAGTCTGCTCCACGTCATCGACAATTTCCTACCGTAGATGACAGTACTGACCGTTACTGCAAATTGACAAAATCCCGCACCAGTCTGGCGGTTTATCCGAGTATTCATGGGGGCTTCATCCATTCCACCTATCCTCGCTTCAGTGAATTGGCCAATCAGGAACGATTCACCTTGCAAAAAGTCATTTTCCCATAGAACTTGCGGTTCCCAGACTCAAAACGCAGTTTTCGTTGAAAAGGCGGACATTTTACAAGCTTTGTTTGGGGTATCTAATTTAATGTGGTCCGGTCCGAAAGGCCCCCATGGCAATCGAACTCACCCAGACCTTCGCCAGCATGGTCATGAGGTCGATGAGTTCCTTGTCCTCTGCTTTCAAGCGGAGCAAACAGGTTCCCTTGTTGTTCAAGAGGTTTCCTGCAAAACCAAGAAGAAGTATAGCTTGGGAACCCCAAAAAGTCCCTGACTTGGCCTAATTTGGGTTGGTTTATTTTTGGCCTACATGCCAACCACAAGGGAATCCACCACCATTTTGAGACCGCTCCATTTTGAGGCGTAAAGGCCTTCCGCACCGCCCAACACACAGACGCGCCGTGCGCCGCCCCTGGTGTTCCCGGGGCGGGGTTGGGAAGGTGGAGATGATAGTTTGTGCAATTGGTGTCAGGCAAAAAAAAGAAGCGGTTCAGTGGATTTGGATTTCAACCACTAAACCACAACAAACAAAAAAATGTAAAATGTTTCCTAACAACAACCATGACTTGCTCGATGGACCTGGAATGAGAAGGTGAACATCTTGAGAGTCGGAGAATTGTTGCCGGACTTCGGAAAACCAAACGGTCAAACGGTCGAGCAGGTTGTGGTTCTTGATGGCTAAGATCACATGTCATAGAAACCGACGGGAATTCGGCAGAAGTGGCAGGACCACTGGGCTTCGGTGGGTGCTTGGCTAGCTTTCCTGTAGCGAGATCCTGAAGACTCGGCGAAACCTCAACCCAAATGAGCTCTACACGTTGCACGCCACAATGGTTGCAGATTGCAGGAATGCATGGCTCAAAAGCCAAATTGTAACCCCCCAAACATCCCAATCCCCCCTAAAATAGGTTCTAAAATGGGTGGTGCACCTACCAACCAAAATGGCATCCCATTGGTTTTGACCCACAGCCATGTCCCAAGCCCGGCGCGCTTTGAACTTCCGTTCTCGTCTGCTTCTCTGTCCATGTCTAAGGCTGCATGCGCCAAAGAAGTCGCCCAGGGATGCCTCCAGCAGTAATTGAAATCGTGCCGAGGAGCTGGGGGAATCTGCGAAAACTACTGTGGATGGTTGCGAAATCCTCTTAGGCACCACCCAAGAAACCCTGGAATGATTCGATTCCCCCGTAAATGCCAACCAACAATGGTTTTCCCATGGCTTCAAAGTGGTGCAGGATTCCGTCCATATACTCCTTTTAGGGCACGTATATTGGCAGGTTACTTCATGGTAAGCACCGCGTTTGCTAGTCTGGGGTTGGCATCATACCACAAAAGGGATTGCGGGGGCAAGCCCTACCTAGAGTCTCAATGACCCCTAACAAATGGATCCAATGACCCCTTAATTTTGGGTAGTGACCAACCAATGTAAAATGTTTCCTAAGAACAACCATGGCTCCCCCCGGGCACCTTGTCGGTTGCCGAAAAGCTGCCATGATCCGCAGCAAGGAGAGCTCAGCGGTTGGGCCGGGCAACGAGCCAGGGCACTTGTGACGCCATTATCATAATGCATTGTTTCGGGAACAGCTACCACGAATTGGGCAGGTAGTCCTGGTATCTCCGTCGTTGTTCCTGTTCGCCCACTTTTCTGTCGCCCAGGTGGGGTTCAACCGGTAAGTAGCTTATAGCCATTGCCACCAGTTGTCGCTGTGGGTAACCAATACCATGTTTTACCTGAAGCTTCCCCCTACCTACTGCAGTGGTAGCTCGAAGCAAAGGGCTAGGGTACTAACTTTAACCGCCAACAGGGGTCGCTGGATCTTGCCCGGAGTTGATGAATTTACGAGTGGCGTCCATTCACAAAATCGCCACGTTTGCTTTTTGTCGAACTTCCTGACAAACTGTTTCAAATCGGGGACCCTTTGGACAGCACAAACTCACTGATTCATGTCCACCAACCACTTAGCAACCACTTAGGTGGTTCCAAGGGATTCCTACCCTACTTTCCTCCACAACCAAAGCCCCTGACGCAAATCCTAACCCCTTGGGGTCTCCTTAGCCCAAGGATCGTATGCTTTGAACAACAGCAGCACAGACTTGGCCGACTTGGGTATGTCTATAAAAATGCGGGGGGGTGTTCCTTGTTTTGGCTCAGCTGGCCCCCTTGCGTTGCCGTTCTCAAAGTCGCCTCCAAAGGGATAGGTTAAAGCGAAAGAATCAACCAGTTTCTCACTTTGAAAACCCCTGAAAACAGAAGCAAACAATGAGCTCAACCAACCCAAAATCGCTAGTGTTGGTTCTTCTCAAAATTGCAAATAGGGGAACAAGGACCCCCCGAGTTTGCCGCAATTTGCCCATGGTTTTGTGGTTTCTCGTGGACTTGGCTTGCTTGCAATATGAAAATCGGGGCATCCGCCTCCAAACGCCAGCAACGATTTGACTTTTCGAATCCGGGCAGCCATTTCCCGTCTGTATCTTATTGTAAGGCCGCTGGGTTTCTCCTAGATGCCCCGTTCCTCCTAGATGCACGTTAAACTTGCAACACAGGCTGCATCTTTGAGTAAACCCACATAAACTTGGGATTGGTTCATCAACTGAACAAACCCACATAAACTTGGGATTGGTTCATCAAGTATTTCAGCGACGAGGCGCCAAACGTTGCACCTCGGCCGCAGCTCGAAGGCCACGTTGAACCGTGGCGCGTCCGTGTGAGCCACGCGGTGCAGGCAGGCGGGATGGCAGTTCCCGCTGAGGCGCTCCAAGGTCTCACCTGCGTCGGAGGTAGGTGCCCCGAAGGCAAGGAACGAGGTGCCACAGGGGGAACACAAAAAAGTGGAGAGGAGTCCTTCTTGGTTTCCCGCTTTCCCCCCAAAACAGCGGTTGCTTGTTGGTCTTCCCGTTGGCTTCTTTGAAATCAAGGTGATTTCAGAAGCGCCCTTACACATACCCACACCTGCGACGGGCATCCATCGGATTCAGCAGGGAGCCGGGACCCAAGGCCAAAGCCCCCTGCTTTGAAGACACTGCCCGCACATAAAGCAACAAAAACAAGAAAAAGTACTCAATGGATACATCAAGGGTTGAGTCTGCCAAACAATGCCAGGGGTACTGTGGATGGACCGAATCCATTTCGAACTACTTTTTTGACGGGGCAACGGAAATGCTGAGTGACCTGGCTAGAAGCACTAACCTGGCAATGTTGACCTGAGATGTTTTACCTGTCCTACTTGGGGGTGTGTCACCCACAAAACATAATGAACCCCGTAACCCCACCAAAAGGGGACACCCCCTATTAATCAAACACGGGTTTATTAGTCCCGAGTCAACAGCAACAAACATATTGCTTTGTCTGGAATCTGAACAGGTGAGCTGCTAAACAGGCCAGCTTGGAACATCGTACAACATGCGAATCTAAACATAAATATGTACAAACGGCTCCGATTAAACTGGCTGGTGGAGCGTCGTGAGTTTGTCAGCATTTGGCCACTTCTTTCCAACTTCGAAGCAGCCCCCAAAGGACCCTGGTAGAAAAAGAGAACGCTTAAAGCGGATTGACATTTTTCCTGACGTCCTAAGTGGATTGGCCCAACACAAGTCCGAACTTGTCCTGGAGGGCCAATTGATACAGAAAAAAGTGCTCAATTGCACTTTCGGAGTTCGAGCGATTTTTTCTGCCCGATTGGAAACGAACAGTTTTGAAGACGGCTTGTCCCGAAATGCGCACCGCGTTTCGAGCGCAATTCGGCGCAACTTCGGTCGCAATTTCGCGCAACTCGGGCGCAAATCCGCGCAAAGGAGCGCAATTTCAACAACTGCCCAAATTTTGGTCACTACACTATTATTGTGCCAAAAACATTCGAGCACAAATTTCTGTATCAATTGGGCCTCCAGGGTTGTTTACCACCAACATGCTCCAAGCCCAACCAGTGACTAAAGTCCAAAACGAAACTCAGGAAGTGAGCTATAGAAGGGGAACCCACCAAACGGACAGCGATTCCATTATTCTTCCATTTGTTTTTTCGCGATTCCACACTTCCATTTGCTTTTTCGCGATTCCACTCTTCCATTTGCTTCTTCGTGCCCTGGACACAATAAACAGTAGTGAAATGGCTTCCTTTCAAAACCAACAAGGGGACATATGCGTGTTTGTGGTTTTCGACAAACACACACTCTTAAGCCAATTGGAAGCACCGGGGCGAAGAAATGCGAAGCAGCCGAATCTCTCCGAGCCGCCGGTGATCACAAGGAAGGGCACTGCATCCTCGAGCTCCTCTGAGTTTCTTTCTCCCGGCGACTTGGGCTGAGCAAAAAGTACCCGGAGAGACCTCTAGTTGCTTCTTGATCCAGTGGAAAAAACTGGAAATCATACTTGCAGCAGTGATCGATTTCTTTAAAACCCACAGGGGGACTGAAAAGAATACTTGCTGTAGTGATAGATTTCTTGAAAGCCAACTAGCATTGGACATGTTGAAATAGTCAGTTCAGCACATGGAAGCTCAATACATGGACCATTCCTTCTCAAAGTTCTCCCCGGCTTCATCTCTCACCTAGCCGCTGGAAGGTGACACAAAAGCATTTGTCACCCCTCTGGCATTGCCCTTTCTTGGCTAGGTCCTCCAGATTTGAGAGCTTACAATAAGTTGGTACCAACTTTTTTCTGTAGTCCATTTCTTGGTTGATGTAGATCCCCCAGCAAAAAGTTTAACTTTTTGCTGGTTAAGACAAAGTATGAGGGGAATCCAAAAAGTTCCAGTCTAAAGATCCAACCCAATAGCAGTAGAGATTGTAGTAGTGGAACCCTCCCCCAAGAAAAGGTAACAGGGCACCTAGCTGGGGGACCTAGTTGGCGAACCAACCACAATGGTAGGATCCTAACGCGTTTACACGGCTACAGGTGCAAGCCCTCTTAGGCTAGGGGCTGAAACAAACGTCGAACCGCACTTGCAACTGGTCAAGACTCAAGTTGGTTTTCGGGCACCCCCAGATTCGCTTTCCAATTCTTTGGCCCCTTATGCTACGTTCAAAGGGGTAATTTCTCGCTTCCTGAGTGGATTGCTCAGAAACAGTCCGAACTGGTTGTTTGCCACTCAAGTGCTCCACCTTTCAGGCACATGTCGACCAGACAAAGCTCCTGCGTCGCGGCATCCATGAGCGCCTCCATGTCTTGCCACACCTCCTAAGCAGAAAACAGCCCCAAGCCCTGAGCCGATGGTCTCAATAAAAGTGGTGGGAAATCCTCTTGATTGCTGACTCACTAAGAGTTGAACTTTTGGTGGGTCAAATCCGGACCCCCCCCACTAAATCCTAAACACCAATTCGCAGGGAAGGAATCACGGGAAACCTGGAAGAATCCTCACATAGTCCCTGCAAATCTTGGGCGCAAAATAGGAAGCGGCCCCCCAAAATGGTTGGTCCTTTAGGTTCCCCTTTAACTACCAACCATTGATCAGCTGGGTTGACTAGCCAGACAAGTTCTATCTTTTTGAGCCTTGACTAAAAGTGATGAGAACACCTGCCAACTAAAAAGTTTAGCGTTTGCCAACTCAACAGCTAGCCTGGCAAATGGAATGAAACCAATCTAAACCAGCGCCATCTACGTCTAACCCAACTAACCCAAAATAATGGGGCAACCATTTTAAGAACTGATTTGGGCAACTCTCTCACTCTCTCTGTCTCTATTAAGTTCTAAGCCCTTGGATCCAAATTGATTGTCACCTAAAAGTCCAAAATGGCCCCCTGGCACCGCCATTTCATCCGGACCTCGCTGGACGAACAGGCGAACCTGTTGGGACCTTTAGACGTGGACCACAAAGGTCAAAAGGCCGGTTTTTCCCTCAGCAAGAGAGAATCCGTTGGGGAACTCAAGACAACTGCAATGACTCCTGTGCTAATCGGCCAGGAAAGCCTGAACCTATTGCGAACCTATCCCAATGATTCCAGCCCCAGCGCCAGCCCAAAGATACCCCAAACCCAAATATAAACTTCTTCGGATAATATGTTAACGGCATGTTGGGCATGGGAGAAATTACTTGGTACAGGGGCGTACTTCAAACGCACATGTAGTCATGCTCAGAGGAGTACTATATCTGAACTAAGACTACTTCCTGAGTGGATTGGCCAACAAAAACTCACCACACTTTCTATTTGCCATTAAACAATGGTTTTTCCATAACATTTTAAGTGACTCAAGTCCATGAACATTCCGGAGAGTACAGGGAACTCAAGCGGAACCATAGGCGTCCTTTTAGGGGAACTAGATGGCCCTGGTTGATGAAACCCCCAGGTAAACCAGAAACATCGCCATCTATTTTTCGACCACCACCAGGAAAACCACCAAAAAGGTGACACATATAAGCGGAACGACGCCACCCTGTCGTTGTTTTCTCCCCCCCCCCGGCTGTCGCGGCGGCGGCGGCGGAAAACGGCGGCAGCCGCGCCTCGTAGGCCGCCGGGCGCCCGGGGGTGCACGAGGCTGCGATGGGCCGCTGGGCCTCGAGGCCGCGGCCGGAGCTGCGGCAGAGGACGGTGAGGAGCCCGGGGTCGCAGTGGGCCCGGCAGGGCTCCTCCTGCGCTTCGGTGGAGGTCGGTGCAGTTTTTTGTTTTTGCATTGTGTCTGTTTTGTTGTTTTTTTTCCCCCCCTTTTTCCGGTTGCCGAGTTCATTGTTGCAGTTTTGCAGTTTTGTTGTTTTTTCTTCTATTTTTTTTCGGTGTCCGAGTTCATTGTTGCTGACGGCTCCCTGAGGTGAGCGGAGTTGAGCCTGGTATTGGGTGGGTATTTGGGGAGCAACAGCCTTAGCCAGCGCAGTGCAGGAAGCTCCCAGCAATCGCCGTGGACGGGTTGCCACACCAGGGTTACCCCTGAAAATCTAATTCCACAGCCTCTTGAAAGCCGATGGTGTAAAACCTCCGAGGGCCCGGGAGGTTTACTCCTCCACTCCGCTGAAGTAGTGGTAAAGATTCAGCACCGACTTGCCCTTGCCTCGGTCGACGCCTAAGGAGAAGTCTCCTGAGCTGCGAAGCGGAAGCGGAAAAGCAGCTACAGCCGAAGCAGAGTCTGGGGGCTCTACACCAGGGGGGCCGCGATGGTGTTCGTTCCATGAAAGAAGGCACACCATGCCTCTCGGGGTTCTTGGAACCCTTTGGAGGGTAGTAGGGGCCTAAGGTGTCTCCTGAAAGTCCAGAACGCCACTGGCATGACTGTCCAGCACGCTGAGCTGAGGTGTGCCAACAGTGAGACCCTAGGAGTTGTTTGTGAACAATAGATGGCGCTGACAAACTCTTGGAACCAACGCCTACCATATAGTTTCCACCAAGCTGACCTAAATAGGACACCTATGAGTGAGACTAGTCAAATCCTTTGTGTGCCGTCACGAGTCACGTATCCGGTCAATAAATGCTGTCATATGGGTATCTTTTTTGGGGGTCCCCCGCCCCCCCGCCGCAAATTGTGGTTTCCTGTTGGTCTCCCTTTGAAACAAATCCACCAAAAAAGGGGTCCCTGCGCAAACACACCTGTCTACGACTTAGCGGTGCTTATACGTGGGTTCTCGCCTAGCTTGCCAACAGCTTACTAACTTGGCAACAAACACCCAAGTGGATGATCTCTCGGGGAACAAAGGCCAAACAAAAAACCAAGCCTCCCCCCTTTGGTCTCCCTCTGAAAACCCCACCCAAAAACAAATCTCTCAAAACACACACACACACACACACATGCACACACGTCTCTTGGATTCGCTCGAAGAAAGGAAAAAAAGAAGGAAAATCACTAAGAAAAAAAACAAAAAACGAAAAACGCCTGAGGCTCCGAAGGCCTGCGCCGCCTGCTGCACCTCGAGATTCTCCGCCAAGCAGTAGGCCTCAAAGGCGCGTTGCGCCACCAGCTCCAGGCAGTCGAAGCAGCTCAGCATGAGCTGCTCGCCCTGGGTCAATCGGAAGATCCGCCGTTTTCGGATCCCCAAAAGCGAAAAGTGAATCACTGTTCGTGGGTTCAATGGAAACACTAAACACTAGGCTAAAAAGCTAAGGAACCGGATGGCTGGGAGCCACCAGGAAAAGAAAACAGGAAACGTAAATTCACTCGGGTGAGAAAGGGCACCTAGCTGGGGGACCTAGTGTCTCCAAAGGAACCAGACATGTCTCGGTTGCTTTCTGCTCCCCTGCGAAAAGTGACTAACTTTTAGTAGTTTAATGGAAAACCCATTAGTTGGCAAAAAGCTAAAGTCCTAACATCCAAGCAAAATGCACCAAAGGAAACGTGTCCAGTAGTGAAATCGATTCTCTTCAATAAAGCTTGGTGCACCAACATTTTGCTTTGCGACCCCTGGACAAACACAACATATGTCCACTGCCCACCCCAACAAAGGACAACCAAAAAAATATTCTGGAAGGCAAATGAAAGTAAACCAACCAAGTCACGGGTGAAATAAACTTGCTAGCGGTTTCCATTGAAACGATCGCGGCTTTTGCAGGGTCAAAGGGACATGGACCGGCCCCCCTTCAAGTATCAAGTCAAGAAGTTTGACCTGCAGAGTTGACTGTTCAGAAAAGGTTCGAACTTCTGTTGGGCCCAAATGACACAAGAAGAACCAACCAACACAAGCTCAGAGTTTGCCGCCTCAGCAGGTAAGACCAAAAGAGGCCAACCAATAGGTTCCAAATGGCACCTTAGGTTCCAAATGGGCCTTTGCTAGGGGACACTTCCCCATTCTTTCCAGGGATCCTTCTTTCCAGAAAACCATCAGAACCGCAGGGGAAACAGCTGCTTTTTTGAAAGGAACGATGGTTGAAAAGTATGGGGAATCAACCCCTGCCCTCAGGCGAATTCCAACCAAATCCCTCCTCCCCTCCCCCCCGACTCCTCGCCTCCAACGCCTCCAACGCCTCTAAGTCTAGGTCCATGTGGCATTTGCCTTGGCAGCTCCGCCGGACCTGGGTGCGCTCCTGACACCGAGAGGCGGCGTTCTCTCGGTTGCGAAATCTGCTCCCGTGCTAAAAGTTTAACTTTTAGTGGTTTAATGTGGGAAAATGCACCATTTTTGTTCGACCCGGAACATGATTAGAGTTGGGCCCAGTTATAGAATCTATATTTTTTTGTTTGCTTCACATGGAGTCACTATGTAAAATGTATCCTAAGTCTACCCCAGGGAAACGCCTGCAGTTGGTTGGTGAAGCTTTCTTTGTTTGCTTAAGTCAAGGGTCAACATTTGTCTCCGAAGCTTTTGACATGGAGCTCAGTGAATTCTTCTTGCTTGACCTCCATCAATCCCAACTTGCCTTTTTTGGGGACCAGCGACCCAGAAGTAAAGGTTCACCATTTGGGGTGGCTAAGAATGAGCTCGAAACAAAAGGCAAGCTGGGTATCGGTTTAGGATTCGAACACCCCAAAGTGGTGGTCTCCTTTTAGTTGTCCTTGAGAACCCACACATGAAGGAACCAACAACTCCCACAATGTAGCAACTCCAAAAAATACTTTTAAAAAAAAAACTTGCAAACGTGCCGCTGCGGCAAAACAAATGAACCCACAAGTTAAGCTTTTGGCAGAGGGGTGAACGGCAACCAAGATGGGTGAGGAGGTGAAACGAGTACTTGCTACCTTTTATCCTACAATGGCTCAGATGCCCAAAGCGAATCGACCTTTTGAGCTTTTGGTTCCCTGATTTGGTCAACTTTTAGTAGGGTGCCAAAAGGTTAACATTGTTTCCAAGGCCCTTTCAACTGAGATGGTAGAGTTTAGTTTTAAGGTCGTGTTTTATTGAACTTAGCCCCTTGTACTTGCAGGCTTGAGTTCACATAGCACCCTGCAAATCCATGACCCTGTTCATGGGCACCTACAGTAGATGCCCCTGTCACACTGCAAGCAAACCAACACGGAAAGCCACAGAACCGTGTAGGTTAGGTCGACTTGTTCCCCACTTGCAATATTGAGTTGGCACCCACCGTAGCTTCCCTTTTCGGCTGTTTCCGACAAGTCTACAGATGTCTACAGAGATTCACTGAGCGAGTTGTCGCAAAATCGGATTGGAACCTGCTAAAATGGGTGGCTTTCTTTTGCATCCACAAGGGGGACCGAGCCTCAACAAAAAGACGAGCCGCACATTTCCTTTTCCAGGGATGGGAGCTCTTGAGGGCAAACGCAAATCAACATGCGAGCCTTAAAAACCATGGCATTCTAACATCTTTTCCGGAACTCCTTTAGTGTTCATATTCAATTTGCAGGGGTGTATTGCTTCGTTTTTTCCCGGCTAGCGGCTAGTGCTTGGTTGCGGACCTATCCCAAGCCATGATTGGCACAGTCCTTTACCGCCTGGCGCTTGTAGCTCCAAGCGAAGCCTTCCTTCTCCGCGCTGCTGCCCAGCAATCGCGCCCCCCGCTGCCTGGCTCACTGCAAATCCTGTGGTTTCTACACAGGGATCCTTACAGTGAATACACCTGAACATTGCAACTTGCAAATGGTGGCTGCCCTTGGTTTTGGTGTGGAAAAAGCAACATGCTTCAAATGGGAAAGCAAAATGGAGATCTTTTAAGGAGCCCTCAAAGACAGCAACCGTTTGCGCTTCGGCGATCACCTTTCCGGGGAAGCGGTTTTTGGGCCGCGAGAGTGTGAGGTAGCCGGGCAGGCAACATGCAGCGACTGTTGCCCCCAGGCCCCCGGAAATGGTTTTTGGGCCCCGGAGCCGGGGACAAATAAGTTCATGTTGAAAGAATCGGGGACCACCTTGACCTTACGCAGGTCGGTTGCTGCGAAAGCCCCAAAGTTCTGCCACAATTGGCAGGGCCAATTTCTACCTGCGTGCGATTTCTCTGCTCGTTTGGCTTCGCTTTTAACGATTCAAATAGCGCCACCACCGCTGGCCGCGCTTGATCCTGCATTGTCCCGATGTTCGATCCTTTTTCTGATGGGGTGCACGAGCCTATCAATCCGCCTGGCTTGTGCCTCTTCTATTTGCTCAAGGAACAACACATGTATTCATTCACATCTTGCATTTCTATATGCATGCGCGCCGGCAACACCAATTCCCCGACCAGAGAATCCATGTACAAGAGCAAGCACGCGCATGCACGCTCACACAGCCTCAACGATTCCCGGGCTCACATTTGTGTCCGCGCCGGGCCCAGAAACACCGCGCAAGCATTGAAGGCACCACTTCCGCTGCTTCCATCACCCCGATGACCCAGCTGCCCTGCTTCTTTTTTTTTCTCCGGCTACGTCTGTCCTTTGTTGCAATAAGACCCTGCCTTAGTGGGTGAAAGCAAACAAGGACACCAAGGGTGGGGGATGGAAATTTCACGGTGGATTCGACTGGATCGATCCCATCTTGCAAGTGGACCAGCCACACTCCACCACAAAACCACTGGGGGGGGTCCCTGCTTCCTCATTTGAATTATGTAGGCCACCCACCCTATGATCCACGTAACTAGTTCACCGCAAAAAACGAAAAGAAAAGAAGCACAAGCACAAAACCATGGGAAATTACGGGTACATTCGGGGGGTTCAATTGGCACCCATCGAATGATCTGGATTCCGAATCCAAGGCGCACAGTCTTGGCCGCAGGGTGAAAGCGCCAGTTCCTTCCGGCGTCTTTCGCGGCCACCACAGCGTAGGTCCTTGGACCGTTTTGGGGAGGAGAACTCTTCCACTGTGCTTCAGTTTTGAGTTTTGGCCAGCAGTTTGGCCAGCAGTTTTCCAGAAGCACACTTCGGAAGGCCTGAAACATGATTGGCCTGCTTGGGCATGGCTTGTGTAAACTAGACCCAGGCGCCCTTGAACTGCCGGCGGTTGCGTATTGGTTTAAACGTGTCCTTGCGCGCTGTACCGGCGACTTTGCAGCACTTTGAGGGGCAATGACGGGCATCAGCCACGACTCAGTTGCCCCTTGAGGACCGAACCCACTCAAAAGTCAACCAGGGACCATGCTTCGTCTTATTTGCCCAAAGCGAATCGACCGGGTCTGATCGTTTTGTTGCTTCTCTAATGAATCCATTGCTAGTCATGGCCCGGGGGCGGTGTCCCTTAAGGATTTCACTGCGCAAAAGAAGAAGGGTCGGACCTTGAGACGCATGGGTGCGTCCATTGAGTCTGTTTTGTTTTTGTCAGTATTATTAGCATTTTTGTTATTATTATGTGTTTACTTTTTTGTTTTTTTGGGGGGGGCACACACCCCATTTTTGGGTCACTTCCCTTTAAAACCACCCTAAAAGAGGTACGCCCTCAAAGTAATTGGGTGCGTCGTCTCTTGTGTCTGGTTGCTCGTTTCGCAAGGCTGGAAGTCGAACTTGTCTTAGGCTTGTTGGTACCCGTTTTTAGATCGCAGCCAAAAGGAAGCCGCCCAACTTGACCTTCGAAAGGGATACTCAAGTGCTGGAATCTTCGGGGGGGGGGGGGGGCTATGGGGGCTATCCCTGGAGCCCAGGATAACCCAAGGATAAGCCCTTAATAAGGCCTTATTAAGAGCTTAATAAGGGATAGCCCCCCTTGGGGGTCCATGATCAAGGAAACCAACCCAAACAAACTAACAAACAAACATCAAATTTGACCCAACCGTTGATTCAACGGCACAACCATGGCACAACTAATATCGAAACAAAAAGGTCGCGCTAATGGGACAGCTGGGGTCTGTCGCGTCAACTCAGCGACGAAGGCTTTGGGATCTTCGAATCCCTCCGCTGTCAGCAGGTGGGCCCTTGCCATGGCTTGCGGCACCCAGGCGAGGCGCGATGCGGCGCCCGGGCGGGCACAAATCGTTTAGAGAGACGCCCTGAAAGGGGTGTTCTAGGGTAACTTCCCCATTCTTTCCAGGGATCCTTCTTTCTAGAAAACCACGAAAACCCCTGGGGAAATGGCGATCGGTTATTGAAAAGAACGATGGCCCAAAACAATGGGGAATCACCCCCTAGAGTGGGTTAAAAATAGGGTAACCCCAAAATGGCTTGCACTGGCAAATGGAAGCAACGACTAGAACCTGCGGTCCCTGGTGGTTTAAGCTTGACCCATACCCAAAGAAAAAACCCGGTAGCCTGACTCCAAGGGCTCATTTGCGAAACTTCCATTTGCCTAAGTCGCCAGTGATAGATTCCGCTTTAAAACCAACAAGCGAAAATCACACATATTTTTTTTCGCAAATGGAAGGCTTAAAGGACGATAGGTGAACCTTTTGGCACTGCTAAACATTGACCATTAAGAGCTCGATGCGCTTAGTGAGAGTCCCCTGGAAGTCTGATCAACTCGCGTCAGGAGACATTTCTGCTGTTCCATTCCGGGCACATCGTTTGAATGGGCCGAAGAGATTGACACGAAGAAACAAATAACAAAGGCTCTGCCAAACTTCCAGAACCCAAGGGCTTTGCTCCCATCTCCAACCCCTTGAATGCTTTCTAGGTCCTCCAGAGGTTCAAATAAGGGTACCAACCTTTTTTTCTGTAGTCTATTCTAGTAGGGGAACCCTCCCAACCAAAAAAAGGGTTACAAAGGGCACCTAGCTGGGGACCTAGCTTTGTTGTAAGGTGCTTGAGATTTTGAACGCGTGAAGAAAGCGGCGTCATGTGCTTTAAAGCCCGCATGGCCATTCTCCGGCATTTGCCAGCCCGCTTGCCTTGAGCCTTGAGCTGAGTGCAAAGGACATGCAACCGCAAAGGCTTCTTTGTTGCCCCGGTTTTCTGGGCTGACCGTTTTCGGCTCCCCCGAAAACGAAAAGTGACGCACTTTTCGTGGGTGAAATTCAGGAACTACCACTAAACACGAAAAGGCCAAAAAGCTAAGGGACCGGATGGCTGGGAGCCACCGAGTTTTGATTGGGAAACCGTTTCCACCGAGGGCTCCCTTTATTTCCCCTCAAAACATCAGCTTTATGAAGGGAAGCTCACCTTAAATGTGCAAAAAAGGTGATGTTCAAATGCACCAAGGGAAATATAGGGACCGTTAAATGTGATCCCAAGCCTTGGAATCACGATGCAATTGCAACAAGGCCAATTGCAAACCAGCCACATGAGCTGCAACTCGTTGCCGAAAAGTTGGCCTTGCGGGTGAGTTGGAAAATACATGCTTTCCCAAAAGGCTAGGGGGTAAAGATCCACGCCAGCATTCATTTCAACTAGGACCTCCAGATTTGAGAGCTTAGAATACGTTGGTACCAACTTCTATTCAGTAGACTATTTTAGGGGAACCGAATCTCCCAACCAAAAAGAAAGGGGAGAGAAAGGGGAGAGAAAGGGCACCTAGCTGGAAAACCTCGTCAAGTTAAGGGGCTGGGGATGTGCTGACCTTGTGGCCCAGTCCTGGTCATTGTCCCCATACCAGCTGGCCACCTGACCCATGCCGGGGGGTTTTTCGAGCGCATCCGATCCAGTGAACTGGGCCCAAAGAGTAACCAACCCGATGCTAAAAAACGATCCACCCAGAACCATGCGAATCAAGGATTAAGGCGGATTTCCGCAACCATTTGTGGTTGGGATTGCCCCTACTAAGCTTCATCTACCCAGGTTTTGATTGCTCACTTGTTGTTTACCACCAACCTGGTCTTCCCAACAAGTGGGACTTAAGTTGAATTTGCCAGGAAAGCGGCAACCAAAGCCAACCAACTTCTGGTAGATACCACTAAAATGGCAACCAAGCCCCAAAAGTGGCTAAAGTTCATGAACTGAACCTCCACCAGCGATTCACCTTAGGCGAGTTTAGGTGGAAATCATGGCCAAGGGACCTTCACCATGGGGCACGTGTTGAGCCAGGGCCCCTGAAATTACTCAACGAATCCATCAGCTTCCATCTACTTGGTGGTTTGGCTTGGTGGCTTGGAGGTTCGTTGGTTTTCCATTCACCCTCAAGAACCATTCAAACCCCCGAAACCACCGGTCCAAGTTCCACAAAAGCTGCTTCTCTGCTCAAAGGGGGCTCCAATCCCCATCCGCAAAAGCACACTTTCTGAGCCCGTCTGCAGTGTGGCACTTGTGGCTTGCCGTCTTTGTTCTGCTTTCCTCAAAAGTCAAGACTCAGGTGGGAAAAACGGGCATCCATTTTTTGGGGGTTGGTTGAGTTTAAAGGGAACCCTTCCCAAAAATAAAGGCGGAATCCACTGACCAACTGGGAAAACTCTGAGGAAGTGATCTCCAAGATGGAAGCATTGCCCTTCCATCTATGGCCACGGAATCCAGCTCAAGAACAAAAGGGGGTCCCTTGGTGATGGGGGCACAAGCAGAAGGAAAGGAACCTGCAGCGCACACACACACACACACTCACACACACCTGTTCCAAAGTCGTTCCTCCTGACCTTGGGGTACGCAGAAACAGGATGTTCTGACTCTGTTTCATGTCGGGCTTACCTGAAGCATAATTTTCAAGGAGACCCCCCAGTCCTGGTTGCAGAGTTGCCGTGGTGCAAAGAACTTGTACCCAAAATGGCACCTTGGTACATGGAAACTAAGACCAAAACCTGCGCAACCCCGGCGAGACTCCGCTTCGGCCGGCGCGGATAGATCGAGAACGACGAAAACGCCGAGGGCGTGCCAGAAGGCCATTCTCCGGGATGAGCCCCGGCGCGAGCGGAGAGTTGTCCACCAGCACCACGTCCTAACGAAAGGACGTGGTGGTTCTCGGAAAAATTCAAGGCGGGGGAGTTAGTTGACGTCCATCTGCTCAAGCCCTTGGGGAAAAAAATGGAAAGTACCCTTCCTCCAACAATCATGGAAGTTGACAGGAGAGCTTTGGAAGACTATGTTCCTTTTGGGGAACCCCTTTGTGCACTTCCATGATTGTTGGAAAGAGGGTATGTGGTAGATCCCCTGGCCACAACTCTTTGCAAGCCCCTTCGCTTCAGGTCCAGGAGCTGGGGAAGAACATGAGCCAAAAGGGCAGGGAGCTGGTGGGCGGTAAAGCACACCTGAGATATCAGCAGCTCTCGTTTGTTTAGCATGGCTTGGCTTGGCAGTTTACCCAAAAAATGCTTCATCTGCCTTAGGTGTCTCGAATCCCCTTCATCCCCGCATATTCTGCCAAATCTCGCAACATGCCACAACTTCTGCCATGGCCCGCAATACAATCGGCGCCGGCTGACGCGAGTCGCGCGTGGGCCATGCATTCGTCAGTATCGAGCTGAAGCACTCTGCCAAATGCAAATCCATTCCCACTTTTAATAATTGGACCCTGTTAATAAAGACTAGTTTTCCACTGTTTCGCCTCCCAAAAAGTATGTATTACTAGGGGGGCCGCATTTATTTGTTTGGATTAGATTCAAACCAAGCCAATAATGCGAACCACCAACTCCGCCTAACCTACAATACGATAAGCCCTTTCAGAGTCATCGTGGTAGGCCTGAAGCTGCCTTACCAACATTGGGTTCGCATCCCTTGTCTACAGTCACTCCAAAGCAGGATTCCGTCGGCATTGCTAAAAGCACCCCCCCCCTTCCAAGATGGAAAACCAGCTGCCCCCTTTCCTGTGCAAAAGACTCCCGTTGCCTTGCCAACTTGCCGAAAAACAGGGCCCTACGCGCCAAGGCCCTCAGGCTTCTTCACTCACAACTCATAGGGGGCCTGAAATAAGTGTTTCTCTATCAGTATATGTGTATATTGAAGCCAAAAGAAGAAGCCACACAGCAACATAAACTAGTTTTTCACTTTGTGTTTTAAAGCAGCAGACCCCAAGGCGAGGGGGGTCACTGGGGGCAACCCCATGCAAACCGTGATAGCGCAAGTTGTAGTTGAGCCACAGCCGTGGGTGAAGGGTAATCTTGTCCCCATATTAATCAACCCCCCTTTATTACTATTGGGGTGTTCCCTCATTTCTTTTAACAAAAAAAGTGAGCTTCCCCAGTAAATTGAGGGACACCAACCTATTAATAAACTGGGGTTGATTAATATGGGGTCAACATTCAGGGACAAGGTGGGGAAGAAGTAGGTGCGGCCAGAACCCTGCTGGATTCTTTGCAAGGTTTTGGGTAGGTGTTGATCGAGTTCAGCCAGGGTGAATTCGTGTCCAATCTAAATTTGCGCAGCTAAGTGGGTATATCCCACTAGACCACAATAAGCAAAAATGTAAAATGTTTCCCAACAACAACCATGTCCAACAACCAGACACTGTCATGTCACCCCAAGCCACAGAAAACTGCAGCCGCAAGCTGTCAGAGCTCCTCCATAGGCCTCCCGAGCTTTCGCAAGTCCTCCAAATCATGGCACTGGGAACCATCTTGGCTGGCGGTCGTTCTTGAATTTCTTGGTGCTTTTCATAAACTCAAATGGCATCTGACAGTTGAGGTTGCTTCCCTCCAATTGGCGGATTGGATTTCTTCAGAGGATCTCAGGGCGGATTTCCCATCCCACGAGAACCAGGGTTTAAGATCCCCAAGCCACTGCACCACCACCAATGGGGGGCAACCATGGCTAGTCGAAAAAGCCGGCACGGTAGGTTGGAAAATAGACCTGCACTATCCAAAGAGGTCCGAAACATTACCCCCGAGCCCCCCAACCCGGCAAACACTTCTTCCATTTGCTTGAGTCCCCAAAAACAAACAAAACTATTTCCAGCTGTGATAGATTCGCTGTAAAGCCAACAAGAAAACGTAGAATATGTTCTTAAGCAAATGGATGATTTGTCACGTAGGCTGACCAACTGTTACTCAAAGCTTGAGCCTTGCCCCTACGCGCTTCCCGAGTGGGCGAGTTGAAGCAACTTCCATTGGGGCGTGTTGGGCACCTTTCGAAACTCAAAAACGCTGAATTTGGGGGTGGAGCATCCAAAAAACCAAAATTCAGGAATGCCTGAGATATGAA